AGCGTCGTCTACGTGGAAACTGGTAACTCAAAGCCTCTGATGGAATGTTTTTTTTTTTAAGTCTTTAATTGATTTTCATCTTTGATCTTTTCCCATAATTCCTCAGATCTTCTGTGTGACGTTTTAAGAGGCAATAAGAGTTTGGATCAGAAGATGAAGTTTCTCAGGGAGAATCAGTTCCTTCAGTACGTTTGTTGCCATGTTTCTCCTTTCTCTTCTTAATCAAAGGTATTGTGGAGGAGTTTCACAAATGTTTTCTCCACTTTAAAAAAAAAAACGCACATGCACGACCCTGTACCCGCTCCAGAGAGGGAACGCCTATTAAACACGTGCAAGTGTGTGTTTATAAGACAGATGATCACGGCTTTTTGCTTTCCCTCGGTCACATATGTCCTTCTCCACTTCGCGGGGCCTGCTCTAACTGAGAGAAACAAATAAATCTTAGACTTTTTATTTAGTTTTCCTTCAGGATAAGAAAAATATATTTGAACTGAATTAAGTTTAGCCCTAAACTCACCAGTCTGTCTAACAGAGGCAGTTGGATGGTTTTAAAGAACGACTGGCTTTAGTGATATGAATCATAAAATTGTACAAAACAGTTGTATGAAACACACAATCATGAAAATAAAATACATGCAATAAAATAAAAAATAAAGTAAAATATAAATAGCAATACTTGGCCAAGTGCTAATTCTCATCTCTAGATATATTGGGTGCACCCTCTTAATCTGAATTCAAATTTTTTATAAAAAATAGATGGATTAAATTCAGGTCCAATTCAGGTTTGACTCCACATCCTTCACCTGAGGAGAATGTCCACCACAGCGCTCTGTTCTAATGTCCGAAATAAATCTTGTAAAAAACATAAGGTCTTAAATCCCAGACTTAATCCTGTACTAACCCTAAGGTCACAGGATGGTGAAATACACGTCACACCCTGTGGGTCACAGAATACAGTGGAACGTATCTTTTTGGCTGGTCCTGTTTGTGTTGTAATGTGAAAAGCTGAACAGCGTTACTGGGTCCAGCAGTTCTGCCAGAATCACTTCCAGCATCAGGATCTGCTGGATCACAGCAGGACGATGAATTCATCCCAGGGGAGTCACAACCTTTTTGAAGGTTGGATTCTCTTCCTTTATTTACATTATCAAATGACACAATGTTAACAAAATATTATGAGAACTTCAATTTAAACAAACCAAGGGGGACTGATGGCCTAGTAGGTTAGAGCGGTGCGCTTCTGCTCTGAGATGGTTGCAAGTACCCGGTTGGATCCCCACAGCCTGGGTTCCTGAGCAAGACCCTTAACCCCACGCTGCTCCCCGGGCGCCGCACAGTGGCAGCCCACTGCTCCCCAAGGGGAGGGGTTAAATGCAGAGGTAAATTTCTCCAGTGTGTGATCAATAAAGTTCTAATATATATATATTGTATTTTAAAAATCATTGCCAAGTAAAAGGAACAGCAATGCATGTGCCTGACTGGACCTCAATGCATTGCTGCTGAAAGTACTAATGAATCAGCCAAATCATGCACACATTAGCTCATACTGACACAAGGAAAAACACGGCCAGATGATGTCTCTCTCCATCTCTCGCCTCGATACTTAACATCCCAACCAGTCAGTACCTCACTGGATAAGCTGATGCAAATTGAAAGAAAAGTTTAGTTGTTTTTTTTTTTTGTCCCTTTCTCAGTTTCCCTTTCCTCCATCCAAGCCTCACTTTGCCCTAATCGCCCATTTGTGTCTGAAAAACTTCCATTTAAAGACAGTGGTTCCCATAAAGCAAGATGCGCCCCCTGGAGGAGAGGACTGTAACTGCAGGGGTGTTAATAGAAATTTAAGACCCATTTTCCAAATTCTTCTTCTTTTAATGTATTGATTTAAATGTTAGATTCTGGTCCACAGTAAAATAAACAGGTAAGAAACAGAGACACACTTGGTAGGTTTGTGATTCTTTGAAGAGGAGTGATTTCAAGGGGTGGGTTGGCTCAGAAAGAAAGGTATGAAAACCAGAGCTGGAAGAATTTTTAGAGAAACTTAGAGATACATTTTTTTCTCGTCCCTGCAGTAATCTGACGGTGTCCAGCGAAGGTCCCAGTTGGAGGCTGATGGCGGCTCTCAGGCTGTTATCTCTGCCACAAACCTTATAGTAAGACATACTTCCAGTCTTAATCCTCTCCGAACTCCGTTTGTCATCTTTGCCACGTTATGTTTTAGTGAAATGGGTTTTTGTTTTGTTTTTTACAGCCACCTCTGGAGGGCAGCCCTGCTCGGTCAGGAGGTGGATGAAAAGATGGAGGCGAGGAGCAACCAGATGGCCAGGACTGTGTGCCAGAAGCTGCTGAACGAATCACAAATGGCTCTGCAAAAGGTGCACAGAAACATAGATGATAGTGTTTCCTATAAAAATGGGTCTGAGACGTTTGTATTTCTGCGTACGCTCAGATCGCCCAGCTTCTCGCTCAGTGCGGGCAGCCAATCAGGGAGCAGCTGGAGGTGGTGAGAGCGTTACGGCAGGAGGAGAGGTGGATCCTGGAGAAATGTTTGACGGCATTGAAGGACTCTGTACGTCCAGAAGATGAGACGTCCTCCAGCGAAGCAAAGATGGGAGCAGAGAGCTGCTGAGAAGACTTCCTGCAGCGGGAGCTTCCTGCTCCAGCTGCAGTTCACAGACTTTCTCAAAGTGCCTTGCAAAAGTATTCACACCCTTTGAACATTTTTTATCAGACTCACTGTGTTTTAGCAGGGTTTTATCTAGCAACAGTGTCCATGAAGATGAAATTAGATGAGTTTTAGAATTTTTTTTATAAATGTTTGCAAAATAAATTTTTTTAATGTTTTTCATTATATTCAACTTCTTTTCCCTCTGATGCCCCAAACAGAGATATAAAAAAAATCTGGTGCAACCAAATACTTCTAAAGGCTAGCTATTAAGCCAACCTATGGAGTGACTATAGTTCATTTGTCTGTAAGTGAAACTCAGCAGAAATCCAGCTGGTCTAGGACGACTTCAGAGGAAAAGGAACGCATCACAGAGAAAACTCAGCTTCTGAGCCATCTTAATGCCACCATCAACTTAAACCGAAGCTTAGAGCAAAGAGAAGCAGTCTAACTTGGCTGTGGTGGCTCTGGAGGGGCTGCAGCGATCCTCTGTCCAGTTGCCCTTTGCAGTAAACAACAGGGGGCGCTCTAACCAAACATAACCTTCTTTCTGGTCTCCATGCATGAATAAAAAATGATCAATCTGAGCACTGAGACACGGTGGTGGCAGCATAATACTGTGAGTGTAGAGAAGCTGTTCAGAACTGAAAGAGAAAATGGAGCCAAATACAGAGCAGTACTAGAGCAATATCTGTTAGAGGCTGCAGGAGACTTTAAGATGGGTGACCAGCTGTGAGCGTGCAGCCAGGGCTGTACGGGGGCCTAAAGTCCAGAACTAAACTGAAGTGAGAATCCAAAGCTGGACTAATCCACATTCACAGAGTTTGAGCTAAAACCTCCTGGCAGACATGAACAGATCTGTAGATCCTGTTTTAATGCATGTTTACAGGAATAGTTTTAGTATGAAACCTGATTAACATGCTTTTATTTTAATACAACAGTGTTTGATTATATTTTGACCAGTGGCGGCTCTAAACCTAACTTAGAAGGGCCCGGGTGAGGCCAGGGATTTTTCATATGGGCAAAAAACTAAGAATGAACCCCAAGCATCACTAAGACAGTGAACCATTTCAGAATTCTGTTTCCTTCAAATGTACCGTTTGCCATGCAGTATCCAGGAGCACTAATGCTACCTGTTAGCTAACATTTTTTAAACATTCATTTCTATACGTGTCGTTTATTTTTCTGGTAACATTTTAAATTTTTTCCAGCTCCATTTTCTATGGATGCATTGTTTTTGAAAAATTGATAAATGTGAATAAAAACAATGTAGCTCTGACTTTTAAAATGTATAAATAAGACTTATTGTTTTCTGAAACAATTAAGAATTAAATTGAATTAATATTTTCTGATTATTCAAGAAAATAAAAGAGGTGACTAATAACAATGAAAATGAACAATTATAATTTATCTTTAACATTTTATAGCTGCAGCAGTTTTCCATCCATTTTTTTCCCCAAGTATTTATTCACACTAGGCTGCTCAGTGTAGTGGTGGGTAGCGCTGCTGCCTTGCAGCAAGGTTCCAGGATCAACTCCTGGCCCGGGGTCTTTCTGCATGGAGTTTGCATGTTCTCCCCGAGCATGCATGGGTTCTCTCTGGGTACTCCGGCTTCCTCCCACAGTCCAAAAACATGACTGTTAGGTTGATTGGCTTCTCTAAATCCTCCTTAGGAGTGTGTGTGAATGGTTGTTTGTCTCTGTGTTGCCCTGCGATGGACTGGCGACCTGTCCAGGGTTTACCCCGCCTCTCGCCCACTGACATCCTCAGATGGATTATTATTTATTTAAACCCATCAGTGGATAGAAAAGCCTTTACTGACATGGTAATGAAGCTTACCAGGGCTGGTTATTATTACCTTAAACATATTCAGAATGATGCAATGACTACAGAACTGTAGTTTAAAAAAATATATGGAAAAGATTAACAGTTATTGTAACTATTAACAAAACAGTAACTTATAGTTTCAACAGTTGCCTTTATGACATCCACTTAAACCTTTTAGTCATCTGATAAAGGCTTGATAAGACAAATTACACAGAGAACCTCTAAAACTGCCTTACAATACTGTGACAATCAGAACTTAATTAAAATGTAAACTAAAATGTTCAAATCATAAAAGGAAATAAAGAAAATATTTAAGACAATATAAAGAAACATTTATATTACATACATTTATAACTGATGGAGCTATAAGAGGAAAATCTTTATACAAAAACCAAAAGCAAATAAAATAAAGACATTTTCATTCTGGATATATTATAAGGCTTCTGTTGGTAGAAATTAAAGTTTTGTATAAACTCTCAAACTGAAAGCAATAAATCCTGAGAGACAAAAGCTTGTTTATACTCTGCTATTCAGCCACATATTTTATTAAATCAGAAGCACACAGGAGATGTTGAGAGAGCAGAGAGCTGCTGAACGCACCACCAGGGCAGAGCGAGATGCACGAGCACGGCTGGCAGCGAAGAGTCTAAGGCAAAGCTGACACGTATTGAACAAGCATGTGGGAAATTTAAACATGCCTACTTTTCTTATTGCACACTCAGGTTGGAAACTTTGTGCTGAAGTTGGTGGAAGCAGCAGGTCTTCCATAAATCCTTCACTGGAGCACAGCACCGCAGCGTTGCAGCTTCCTTTAGTGAGCTGGTCTTTTCTCAGCACTTTGTTCTAGGATGAAGTTAATTCTCTGTTTCAGGGGTAGAAATGTTAGCAGCAGCTAAACCCTTCTTTGAACTTTGAAGCTTTATTGTTCTCAACTAAACGCTCTTCCTAAGCATTACAAAATGTAAACAAAGTGTAAAACATGGGATTTTTGGTCCTTAAAAACACACTTTGTATCTCGTTTAATGAGAATTAATAGTTTGGATTGACTGCAGCTCCTAAGGAGAAATAATGGAAACACAAACAGCCTTATTTTTCTAACCGATATTCTGATTAATCCTTCCTGGATTCTGTGCTCAACTTTTTAAATAAACATTTAATGAGGAACGTTTAACATTAGAACTGCCATTAATTCCATTTGGAGAAAAAATGGGAATGCTTTTAATCAACTCCATTTGACTTCCAGAAAACATCTGGTCCTACAGATCTACGATCTATTAAAGCTGAACAACAGCCTTTTTCCTGTGATGGCGCTGGACGGTCTCCATGGCGACTGTGGCTTCATAGAGAGGAACAGCTTCTTCTGTCTGAGGTCTGCAGAGAATAAGAATGATTATGAGTTTCCTGCTCTGACTTTTTTTAGTTAATAATAAAAAAAACGTGTTGAAAGTCACCTGAGAACTCCAGCCGACATCTTCTCCACAATGTCCTTCAGGATATCTGACCAACATGTTAAAGAGTAAAACTGCAGAAACTATTACGTTGATCAAAGTCCTTCATTTGGGGCCTTTTTAAGATGAAACAGCCTTTCTTTTTCTTCAGGGGAGAAAAGTTTCATCAGTGCAATGAGTTGGTTTTTCTTCCACTGACAGAGTTAAATATTTGCAAACCTCCTCTGAAATTTGGCTCCACTGCAAAGAATTAAAATCCAAGTGAGTCATTTTTTCTTAAATTGAGAGCATTTTTTTTTCTTGAGACACTTTGCTAATGAAATAAGACATTTAGAAGTCACATTTAAAACAAGAAAAAACAACTAGTCTCTTATTCTAAGTGAGTAGTATCTAATCATCTTATTTTAAAGCTACAGTGTGTAATTTTCAGCGACATCTAGCGGTCAGACTGCAGACCGCAGCAACATGAACATCTCCCCCCCACCGCTTCTCCCCCCCAACAGTACGGCGAGCGTTACGGGACAAAATTTCTTCCATGATGTCCGCATCACCTACCTTCTCAAGTGATGAGGTTTGTTTACATAGATAATTTTACAGATAGTATTTCATTAGTCTGAGTAGGGTATAGATTTCATGTAGACTTAAGATAATAAATATACCCGTTATTTTTTCTACATCGTTGTGACGTTTTGGTGAGCTGCTTTGCATGGTGATATAAACAGACGAAGTAATTGTAGTCATTAGTTTAACAGCGAGATTGTGTTCGCTGGAAGAATATATATTCCCCGTTTACAGAGTCTAAGTCATTTTGGTGGCACGGGGGTTACAACGCGAGGAAGAGGGAGAGGACGAGGGCGAGGGCAGGGAGGCCGTGCAGCTAGGGCCAGGCGAGAGAGGGGAGCCAGCGGGGTGAGAGCAGAGGAGGAAAGGCTTGAAGATCTCCAAAGGAGCCGGAGAGAAGTAACCGAGGTATATATCCAGAAAATTATTTTACAGAAAATTACTGAATCATTACCTGTGAAACGTCAGGGACGTTGCTGAATAAGTATACTGGAGAGGAACAGCATCATCACGCCGCAGCATGTTATTGTTTTAGACAGGTCTGAGCATCCTGTACTCCAAAAACTGCAGTGATATTAGACAATTGTGTGTGTAGGATTAATTACCTGTCCAAGAGAAAACTGGCAACTTGAGCGTCACTTTGAAAACCTTTTTCCTCCATCAGTGACTTCCATCGTGTAAATGCCGTGCCAATGTTGATCCGTGTTTTTTGCCGTTTCTTGTCACGCTTGCGTTTATTCTCGTCGTGTTTCCGCTTCTTAGATGACGGGGGTTCGGTGTCCGCCGCTTTTCGTTGTGATACAGAGTAGGCATGATCCTCCATTCGTCTGATGTTTGGCCACACAGTGCCAAACAGTTTGCAAAGTCACTCACGCCTGCCGCCTTGTTCACCTTTCTTGTTACTGAGGCGCAGTATACCTGCTTCTTCTTCTTCTTTGGTTTCAGGCAGACTAAACGCTTCTCAGGCATAATACTGCCATCTACTGTTCAGTACCGTCTCAGTTCATCTCTCTCAACTTGCCGTAGTTATTTTTGAGCGTCATGGGAGATCTCGCAATCGCTAGTTTGTTGGCTCTGCGCTGCCGTAGCGCAAAGATGTCAGCCTCCATGGCTGCGAGACCCGCTCCTATGTAATTATAAATAACGAATTCTAAGGCAACGCAAATATTAAGGTTAAAAGGCTGAGCTCATAGGTGATGATAAATAACATAGTTATGTATAATATATTAAATTTCTGACTTTATATCCCTGTAATTATTACACACTGTAGCTTTAAAGGTAAAAATACTCCTTTCATTGACAGACAATCTTATTCACCAGCTTAAAATTAAGGGTAAACACACTAATTTTAACTAATCTCTTTTGCAGGATGCTACCGGTTTGATTCTGAATGAATAGTTTGACTGATTAAACTATTTTTTCCCTTTCATGAACCTGTCTAGCAGACAAACTATCAGTGGGATCAAGTTTGAAGCCTTTTAAAAAGTGACTAATTAGCTGTATTAAAAAAATCCAAAAAAGCCCAAAAGTTTTTCTTTTTTGGATCATTTTCCTGTTTGAAAAACCGATTTTGTCTTCGTATAGATAATCACAGGAAGTAAAATCTATATTTGGCTTTTTCCACCTACTTTGTGCAAAGCAGCTAACCTTCTGGATGAATTCACAAAAGTTTAAGAAGTTAAAAACAAACCATTAGACATTGTTTTTAAGTTTAAAGATGTTTTGCTTCCCATCCAGGAAACTTTCTCAATTCAAAATGTCTGAATTAGCGTTGCGTTCCAAGCTTTATAGAGTGGACCAACAAAGCACACTGGTTATGGCTTAGAAAACAGCTCATCAATGCAGCTGACTCCACGTGGTTTATCTTTTAATGAGAACTAAAGCCAGTCGTTGTGTAATCCCTCTGCCCATGGACCAAGTTTTGATTTCAGAAGTGGAGGGGACGCAAGTCTTTTTTAATAGAACTAACTTTTTAATATAACTAACATCCATTAAAAGACATCAGCATCAGATGTTAGTAAAGTGAGCTTCTCAGGAGTGACAGCGGTGAGAGCCAATCACACAAGAGAAGACGGCGGGCCAATCAGGAGCTAATGGGCGGTGTAAACTGAGGGTAGCGCGCTTTAGTTTGAGCTGCGGTTTTCCGCTCGGTCCTAGTGCTCGTAGAAAGTGTGTGTACTGTAGCGTGAAATTGTTCTTTGGACAGTAAAATGTGCAGGGGACCAAACGGACGCTTGAAAAAGTGCATGGGGACATGTCCGCCCCCCAAAAAAATGACGTCCATGCCTCTGCAGAGTTAAAAAGTCGGTTTAAACGAATCATTAAAGCACAGAAATTACAAGATGACCAGCTGAGGATGGATGTGAACTTCCTGCAGCTCAGATTAGGTGAAGGATACGGAGGTATCGCCCTTGCTGCGCTGCTGAAGCAGTCCAGACCTCTGGGTTGAGGAAAGACACGGAGGCTGATTTCAGATGCAGTAACCTGCAGTCTGGAGGGTCCAGCTGCAGACAGAAGCAACAGAACATCACTGGAACTGGTCCTTAGAACCTGAACAGAGCCTAAACAGGAACCGGCCTCACCTGCAGGTTCTTATGGGATGTGACCCAGTGGCCGCCCACCCCCAGCACACTGATGATGTCATGCTTGTGAGGGAGAAGTTTCCTCTCCTCACCCTCTTCCTCATCTTCATGCAGACGGACTTGAAAGGCAAAAGGGGCGGAGCTTAGCTATTAAATCCTTAGATGTTAAACCCATTCATGCTTCTCCTGCAATGCTTTTCATTTGTTTTACCTTCAGAATCCACGACTATATCCACTCCCAGACCCCCCGTCTCCTCCAGGACCACGGATAGCGGGTCAGATCCGCTATGCACCGGGATAACTCTGGCTTCAAGAACAGAAAGACAACCACAGCATTAAGTAAACCACTGTGCCTGATTTTACAATTCAACTTAGTACTTGAATTTAAACATCTCTCCATTTTTCGGTTCCACATAAACATTTTGGCATCAACATAAATGTTGACCTGCAAACCTTTGCATCAGTTTTTTCTAAATTATTGTCATATTATAGGGAAGATTTATAGGAAACTGTGACAAAAAAAACACCCAAATATTAACCAGACAAATACAATAGGTCTAAAGCTTCTAAAAGAGGAACCGAGGGGAGCAAAAGACTGATGCAGAGTTTTATTGTGGCTCCTTCAAACCTCTGGGTTTATGGCAGCAATTTTATTCCATTATTGTTAAAGCAATATAGACATACATAGTGTTGCTTGAAAGTTTACATACCCATCCATTAAAGATATAAAAAATTAGCTGCCAGTAAAATAAATTACTCAAAAAAGGAACATTTCAAAAACAAAATCTGAAAATAAAGCAAACTGTAAAATGTAGGGCTGGGTATCGTTCAAAAATTTTCGGTTCCGGTACCACTACCGATACCTTTACTTCGATACCGGTTCCTGAACGATACTTTTTTCGATACCAGTTTTATAATATCAATTCGAAGAAAAAGAAAATTACACAACATAAAAAAGTACAAATCTTGAGTTTTATTTTAAGCTCTGATTTTTCCATTTACATTTTTCCTCTTACATAAAACATTTTTTTTCAGTGAAGAAGAACAGTTGCAAACAAGTCAGTGTCTGATATTCACTGTTACATTGTGAGGACCTTTTTACTTAGCAGTTTTTCTTTAGAAAAATTACCATGTCTGACAAACAAGTCCGTTGAATGGGATCCTACTGACAGCGCACCGCTGGTATGGGGGGGTCTGAGCGGCTCCCACAGAAATATTGGAAGGCAGGATGATAATCTGGATGAACTGATTAAGTTTTCAGGTGGATTTTCCCACTTAAAAACACAATAAAACTACTTTATTCCCACTGATTACAGCAAATATAGCTGCAAGGCAAATAAAGGATAGAGTAGCTCCGCCCAACGCACATCAGAGCCACTTTTCGACCGCGCAGCCAGAGCAGCAAAGCTTCTTCAGCCGCGCGTCAGAAGCTGGTACAAGCAGCAAAAAATGAAGCAGCAGACGTGATTTTGCTGCTCCTGCTGCGTCCGATGTGAACGTAGCATTATTCACTCCGCTCTGGCTTTGCTCTGCCCACGGGCTGCTGAGAGGAGGATGGTCGCGCCGGCTACGGTCCGCTCTTCTTGCAGTCAAACACGGAGCGACTTTCTGCTCTTAAATTGTTTCAGTGAACGATGTATTGCATTGCGCACTATTGGCATCAGTCTTAATAAAATGAAGCCACACTTTTGACCTGGGGGGCATTTTAAAGGGGTTCCATGACGCTCACAACCAGTTCACAACAGATACACATGAACCCTGCTGTAGGCGGGACCACCTGTGTATTTTTCCTGGATGACGCAATCACGTTAAGTGTTACAGCCAATCACCGAAACTTGGCACCGAAAGACGAGGCATGTTTCGATACCCTGTAGAACCGAAGCATTTCGGTCGGAACTGATGTTCGGTACCCAGCCCTAGTAAAATGTATATTTCCTTTGCATGTGGCAGAAATGAGTCATGCACCAAAAAAACAGAAACTCACCAAAAACAAATAAAAAAAGTAATTACATTTGTCTCTCTCTTTTTTTCTTTTTTTTTTTTCTATACATACAGCAACAACGTCGCTAACTTGGCAACACTGGATTATCGTCTTCAGATTTCCTTCAGCATCCAGAGCAGAGCTCTGCAGCTACCACAGCTACACAGACTGGAGCTAGTGGTGTTTTTTTTAGATAAAATCAATTAATTTAAATTCCTTTTTCATATTGTGTGATATGAAAAAATTCTCTACCAAACATGAAAAAAATTAATTTAAATCAATTGTAAATAAATAAATAGAAAAATAATAGATATAGGCTGTTCAGTGGTCGCAGTGGGTAGCACTGCTGCCTTGCAGCAAGAAGGTTCTGGGTTTGATTCCCGGCCCAGGGTCTTTCTGCATGGAGTTTGCATGTTCTCCCTGAGCATGCATGGGTTCTCTCCGGGTACTCCGGCTTCCTCCCACAGTCCAAAAACATGACTGTTAGGTTAATTGGCTTCTCTAATTCTCCTTAGGTGTGAGTGTGTGTGTCTGTGTTGCCCTGTGATGGACTGGCAACTGCCTCTCGCCCAGCACCAGCACCCCTCGCAACCCCATGTAGCAGAAACTCTGCAGTTACTAAAAACAGTTTCACTGGTTTCTAACCTTTTCGGATTTAATAATAACGTCTGAAAGGAAAAGGATCTCACCTACTAAAGGATCCTGAATGCCTGAGGAGAACATGATGGAGAGGAGAGAAGGAAGAAAAACAGACAGGAGAAAATGAAGGAGGAAATCCAGCAGGCGGCACAGAAATCAGCACATGAGGAGAAGACTTCAAGGCACTGAGGAGTACAAACCTACGCTGGGCCGAAGCTGCTCCAGGAACGTTTGCTGCTGTGGAGAGTGGGAGGTGGCGAGAACCTTCAATCCATGATAACAAGCCAACTGGATGCACATGAGGCCGAAGGGCTTCAGGGGAAGAAACTGGATCGTTAATAAATCCCTACAGCCCATAACCAACCAGAGCCTCTATAGTGTTTCTACATACACTGGCCCCGTCCAAGACCAGGAGCGTGTGTCCGGCTGCCATGCGAGCGTGTGTGTGCAGAGCGGTGTAAGCACACACTCCATCACGCAGCGCTGCCGCCACGCTGACCCAGCTGAGCTTCTCAGGCTTCTGAACTGCAGCAAACAAAGAGAAACATTCGCTTTTTCACAAGTAATCACACCCCAGAGACATTTTCCGGTTTGTCCCGCTTCAATCAAAGTCAAACCATTTTTACTCAGATTCTCTCTAACTGAACATGATAGAAAACAGTTCTTTTTACTGCGTCCTGCTTAATAGTTTGTGGCAAACAATGAAGAAGACTTGGGGCCTGGTCTGATTAAAGCCAGATTCAATGTGCAACAGTGTGCATGCTGTGGGTGGTCTTCAAAGATTGTATGGAGTGAATTCGGTTCCAATAGTGTTCCAAGCAAAGAACATATTTTGTAAAGTGAAACTTGAAAATCATTTTAATAAAAAAACTGGTTTTGAGAGCAACTTTGCCCTTTTCTCAGATTTGTTTTCAGTTATTTTTCATTGTTTATTTGATTATTTTTTCCCTTTTTCAAACAACTATATATATATATATATATATATATATATATATATATATATATATAAAGATTTCAAATTTGTTTTCCCTTTTTTTCCCATTTTTCTTCCTGTTTTTTTTAGGGCAGAGGGGTCTAAGTGGGTCCCTTCAAGAAAACTCGGGGAGTTTAAAGCATAAAGCTTGTGTCACACCTTGATGATTTAGACCAGAGTTTGCCTGACGTATGAAAAATCTGCAAAAACGCTGGCATATGTTGAATAAGTTATGAGTACGTTCTGTATAAGTTAGGAGCACGCTGAAGTACCCTGAAACACGCTGGCACACGTCAACATATGGCGAGGATGCCAGTGTGTGCTGATATGCGTTATATTTATCGACACCTTTCACAGCTTCTCTACCTATAAGTGTTTGGATTATTCCATTTGTCATCTGTTAGATAGTGCTGCCCAGAGACTCTGCACTCAAGGTGCTTTCAGGCTTCTGTCAAACAGCCAGCAGAGCTTTACTCTGAGTTTAACGAGCATAGAGTGCAGATGATAGACGGATAAGGAAAAGTTTAATAGCATCCGTTTGTCCTGCTGCCCTTTAAAGGTCAGAGGGAGCTTAATGCACTCAATATGTCCGACTCAAAGTAAAACTATTATCTTATTGAAGTGAAGGCTCAAAAATTTTTGTAAAAAAAACATTATCTTTTAGCCCGAAATGAGGAATTAAAGGCTGATTGTGCTGTATGGAGTGAATTATGTCCCATTATTGGTGCAAGCAAAGAATTTTTTTTTTATGGAAATTTTAAAGAACCATAAATGTTTTTTTGTTAGTTTGTTTTTTTTAATATAACATTTCTTAATCAAAAGTGATATTGCCGTTTTCTCAAAAAAAAATTGTTTTCATTTTGTTCAGATTTTTATTCCAACTATTTTTTTATAACTTTATTTATTTTACAGATTTCATATTTTCAAATGTTTTTAGCGTTGAGTGGTTAAGACCAAATTCTTTTCTTTTTAAGCCAATAAAAAAAACTAACTGCCAAATAAAAATATTGATAATATTCATACAGACCAAAAGAAAATAATCTTTTCTCCTCAGTTTTGAGGAAAACCCTTCCACAAGAGAAGAAAATGTGAAATTAAAAAAACATTTCAGAAAAAAATGAAATATTTGAAGAAAAAAAAAGAAAAATGAAATCTGAGAAAAAATTATCCTTTCAGAAAACGTTTTAAATTGAGTTTATTTCTAGATTGCATTCATTTTTGTAACTTTCCACTTACAATTCAGTTCTTTTGTTTTTTTAATTTCAAATGACCAAAAGTGTGCCTTGCTTTCAAAAATAATGGATCTAAATTAACTCCATAGTCAAATGTGTGTATGTGTGATTTACCTAAAAAGTATTCGTCTACGTCAACAAGTTCACAGAGTCCAGAACAGGGCGAGTCTAGAGGAAGAACTCCTGTAGAAGGAAAGGAGGAAAGGTTACGACAAGAGTTTAAAAAAAACTAAACAAAAAACCCACTACCCACAAACCAAACGAATCTTGTTTTTTTTTTTTTGTACTGACTGTTTTTACAGGGTGTACTAAGACTCTCTCTCATGGAGATTAGGCCTGATGACGAGGCAGCCATCAAAGGGGAGGGGGACCAAGCAGGGGCTCCCAAACCCAGCAGAAAATAATAAAGCTTTCCTTCATGAAAATGGAGAAGTGATTATAGAGGAGCAGCCTGGAGGAGAGGTTCACATCCTGGATGTGAAGCAGACTCACTTGTAAGTTTGCCATGATGTCGATAAGGATTCTGCCAAACACCTTGCTGATCTCATTCCATAAAGATTTAGCTGTTGCAGCATGGTGTCACACTCAACACTAAAAAGGTGAACCTAATTAAGTCCAATCTTTCAGTCTTTGGAAAAGACAGAAGGTTTTAAGTCAAGTAATGAAAACCTTAATGGTGCATTAAGACCAGATGCGATGAAGGTGATGATTTCCTTCAGCCCTGCAGGTAGTTCACTGCTCTGCATTTCAGATGCAGTGTTTCCACTCTGGACTGCATCGTCACATAGGAGGAGCCTCAGCTGCGTGAAGCTCACCCCCCACTGCCCTGAAAAAACCTCATCAGATACACTGAATGGTTATTGCTTCTTTAGTGCAGGTTTGTGCTGCACTAAAATGGTCATTTGTAAAAATGAAATAAAAAAGTGAAAAAGGAGAATATGTGCTGCTGTTGTTGTTTCAGAGATATTAAATTTTTTTTTTAGGTCACCCAGAAGTCAACTGCCCCCTCATTCAGCTCCAAATTCAATCAAACTGTTCTAGCCTACCTTTTCAGTGCTACTTTATTTTGGCAGGTAAAACTGTAGTTTGTGATGATTTGGTTTTTAAGTTAGAATTATTTTAATTAGGACACAGCGGATGTTACTGCTCCATTCATTTCCTGATATAAAGTTATTGCATAACATCACATGTCATTCCTGTGCTGGTATTGAACAGTAGGCATGTTTAGCTTATATAAAGGCTTTAATCATTGTTTAATATTTAGTAAATCATCAGACCCTTTGCTTTGGACCTGCATAGGGGGAAACCCCATGTCATTTCCTGTCACGGTCTCGCTGTCCGCATTTCACAATAAAAGCACAAGTGAAACTTAACATTACAGACTAATCCTAACTTGTTTTCTATGAACAACTTTTCAATCGCCTTGGGGAGACCATCTTTTTTTTTTGGATAATCCCAAAAAAAAAGTCCACTTTGGTTCATCCAGACGCAGCTCTGATTCGGTCAGATTCAGCGAGATTCTTTGTTAATCAGCCCCCACAGAAAGCATCGATGCTGGGCAGAGGGCAGCGACAGACCGGGCTCTGTGCTAGAGGTAAGTAAGGCTAAGCACTGTTTCTAGGACTAAATTAATACGGCTTTTTTTAAATCCACATAAAGACTTCTTGAGAGCATTCCTTATTTCTAAATGTGTTAATACCATCTCTGTATTCCATTTTAAGTGAAAAAAGCTTTGCCTACAACCTTCCCTGATTGGCTGCCGTGACACGACGTCATAGAACAGTTCAGTTCCTTTAAACTTCAGCCATCAACCCTCCTCTTTCTCTCTCTCTCCATGCGGCGCTGCTGTTTGACACCTCAGCTCTATCTAGCGTCAAACGGTGAGAGCAGAGCAGTGAACGCTCTCGCCGCGCTGAGTTCACCCTTCGCCGCTTCACAGCGCGGTTTCTGTAGGAATTCTATGAGAATCCGCTGCCTTTGCCACAGTCACCGCCTTCAGTGTGAACGCACCATAACAACTTATTTATTACTATTATCAGTATTATTATTTTAATATTATCTAGTTGCTATGGCAACCAAAAAAGTATTTAATTCAATAATTTGCTAGTTTTCATTAAGAAGAAACCTGAAATCTAATTGAATTAGGAGTCTGGAAAGTACATCTACATAAAAGACAAAGGATTTAACTGAATATTCAATGATCTTCCCTCAGATTTATAATCCCAGGTTGATTTAAAAGCATTTCTCACCAACAACCTCGTCCTCCGGCTGAAAGAAGGTCACTTTGGATCCAACTGCAGAAAAGAGACATTTTTATTTAGATTAATGGGGGGGAAAATCCCCAATAAAGGTGTTCACTCCTTCACGATTTCAATCATTTATTTGCTTCTACCATAAAGCGCAGTAAATACAGTGTTTGATACCTTTGAGGACGACTCCAGCAACCTCTCTGCCCACAGGAAGTAGATCCCTCTGGATCCCAACCTCCTGGATCATCTGGAAAAGGACAGATAAGTAACCTGATCACATAATAAGGATAATAATATTAAAATATAAAAAAAAGAAGTAGAATGTTGATTTTATTTGTGATTACACATAGCTGCTGGTTCTTAACTTCTAACAAGCCTGTAGAATGAGGTTAAGGCTGATTTATGCTCAGAAACCAGGTCGTCTGCGTGTCTCGCAGTGAATGCAAATGGCTTTCATGTCCCTCCGTTGTCGCACAAACTTGCCCCAACTTCCTCACCGCCTCGGCCGTATCTAGACCCTTATCTAGTTCCTGATTGGCCCTCTGGTGTTGTGGTGTGGGAAAACACGCTTCAATATTGGGCATAAATCATAAATATCTGCGCCAAGCTCACCGCGACAGACTGCGGCGGGAGGAAAACCAGGCCTTCGGAGTTGTGCCAGAAGCAGTTGCCTTTCCCAGATAGGGGCTACCAAGCACAGTCTTACAAATGAAGGCTGCGACAGGTCAGCCACCTGGTTCCTCATCTACCTCCTTGGTACTTATGGGCGCTCAACCCTAAAGTCAGACTGAAATCCACCAGGGCAGGGGGTCCTGTATCGTTCCATCTGACTCTTGCGCCGCAGACCTGAATCAAAGGGCTAATCCTCCTAGTAGCAGTCCAGCTCTGCAGAGTTCTGCTGAACAGCTCGTGTTGGAATCAGGTGTGTTGAAGCAAGATGAAGGACACAGCCACTCAAGAACTGCATCAGGCTTCCAGTCATCTCAGCCATTGGAACCGGAGAAAAAGGAGAGCTGAAAGTTCTCAGACAGGAAATAAACACATTATGGTCGGCATAAAAAGGGGTGCACATGGCTGCCATATTGGAAACGAAGGATGCTACAGCAGGTATACTGTTGTTCCCAAGGAGGGTGGTGGGACACCAAAGCACAGTGGGAGTGTGCTTACAGTTCGGCATAATAAGGGCTGGTTTTCTGGCGAGCTATGAAGGAGCTATGAGCAGAAAGCAGGATAACCCTATCCATTTTGCAAAGTGAACTTCTGTCGTTACTAGCCGCTGCTAAGAGCTCTATGGTTTCCCACAATCCTTTGCATGACAGACGATACAGATACAGCCCACTGCATAGAATTTAAGAAGAACAAACTATTTCTTCACATCTACTCTGTGATACATGCTGATATAAACACCTTCATAAGTTTTGGGTTTAAGCGTCATTCATGTGCATGTTTGTTGCATATGACGCCCATAAGGCTGAAGGTTGTCCGGATTCTGCACAGCCGTCCGGAGCTCCTTTCTTACCCTGGATATAAGTCAAACTGTGCAACCTGCAAAAGATGAAGGAGCAGGAGGTGGGAGCTACAGTTAGAGGTATGTGGATCCAGCCGGTTGCCCAATCCGGTCCCTAACCCTTCGCTATCAGTGTCACTCCAAATGAAGTCTCACTCACAGCTCTTGAAGGCGCCTTCATTGAAGGTGGGGGTGTATAAGCCAGAATGAGATGGCTTCTTCCCTCCAACGGAAAAAGAAAGTAGTCGTTGCTATGGCAACACAGTGATGCCCCACGTGCGTGGCTGTAGCTCTGTGCCGCAGGTTAACAGAACATTAATCATTTGCCCCTTTCTTAAAACAAATGTGTAGGGTAAAAATATAACTATTTGAAAGAGGACCTTCCCTTTAAGAATTGATTATGTTTGCTTTTTTCATAAACTGACTGTAAATGTATCCATGATGATGCAGACAGTTTATTGATATAATTCATTGATATTGATATATGTATATATAGTTATTTACATTTCATATTAATTATTGTAAATATGATTGTATCTTTATATTGTTTTACTGCGTGACACATGGTTTGATTTATTTATGATTATTCTCATGATTATATCTACAAGCTTGTTCTTGCGCAGTTTTGAGAAGACGTTATTTCACCAACGTCCGTCTTGGGTTACCATGGAAACAAACACCAACGCCCGTCTTTCATGGAAATCAACGGAGGTTTTCCACATTACTCACAAACATTATAAGCTGAAGTTTGTTGAGTAAAAACCAAGGACAGCATCAAGGACAATCACCTTTTAATTCACGGATAATTCCCTCATTGTGGCATGCAGCCAACGAGGTATTTTATTATTTGTATATAACGTTACATTGTTTCATTCTGTTGTAAGCCAGCTACAATGTACACTGTGTGGTTTGATGGTAGCTAATTAGTTAATTGTATCAACTGTATTGTTCTGTACAGTTTTCACGGTGCTAATGAAGATTTGGAGGGTTCATTAAATCAGTTCAAGAAATCCATTTGTGCTCGTCGTGCCTGAGGGGAATTACACTGACTTTTGATTTTCCGTCAGCGTGACGAAGATGCAACAAACCAGCAGAATTCACATTTGGAGGAACGCGTTTCCTCCGCCATCAGACTGCTGTTACACCTGCTGCCGAATTCCAGCGAGCCGCCAACTGATGCAGACTCCCTGTTTAAGGGCTGAACGTTCCACTGGCCCTACCCACTACATGGTTTGGGACAGCACTTAATGTGGAGGGTTAGTGCTAAGAGGCCGGTTTGGGATTGGGCCTTCTGTTTCTTATTAGCCTTTGCAGACCTAGAAACACCGGCTGGCAAAAAAAATATGGATGTTAGCAGGCGATCGTCACTCCTTTAGTAAATTAGAGTTTAGTTGAGGTTCATCTCCTCTTTATTTTACCTTGAAGTCCAGAGGGCTGAGTCCACATGCTTTGACTTTAACTCTGACCTCATGGTCGCCCAAAACGTCTGGGAGAGTCTGGAGGAAAAACAGAGAAACATGACTTTTACAGAAAGAGGACATCTGTTTGGGGAATTTAATGGTTTACTTGGAACTTTTCCAATTCTGGTTGGATTAATATCATAGCAATTAAATCCACTGAAAAAATGCAGAGAATTGAAATTTACAGCATTTTGAAATGTAGCTTTTTGACCATGCATCTTTGAAAACTTGGTTTAGCCGATTCCAACTGATATGGGGTTAACTTTGATCCACTTTTGCTGCAGGTGAAGAACATGAAGAAAATAAATGCCATTCAGAAATAGCTGAAAACTTTGAAGAAGGTCTTAAAAAAAAAAAAAAAGGTTGGGAACATCATTGACTTTTTTCCCCCTGTTTTTAATTGACAGTTTTCTGTCTTTAAAATTTCTTTTTTCAGACCGAGTACTGTGAATTGTATTTTGTTCAAATAACATTTGACATATAACCTTGGCTTGACTTCAAACCCAATAGAAAAGCTGCCTTCTAACCAACAGAAATCTAGTTCCTAACATCCATCAGAGCAATAGAAATACGTCTTTGCCTCATTATGCCAGAAGTTTGAATTTTAAATAGAGTCCCAGTTGTAAAACTCAAACTGAACAACAACAAAAATAAATAAAGTGTAAAATCTTTAATAAATAAAAATGAAAAATTTAATTTAATAAATAAATAAAATCAAACAGCAAAGTTACACACAAAATATTTTATTTTCTTGGTTGCATTTTTTTTTCTATTTGCAAAACCTGCTGTTTTCTTGCAACAATAATGGGACAAACGTCATGCCATACATCTGCAGATGGTTGCAGACAGAATGAAATCTGCAGTGATGGATAGCTGGGATCCTCAACACTAATTAAACCCAGTTTGGTATAAAGAAGGAAGCTTCTTAGTTAACTCAAAAACTATTAGATTAAGATACAAAAAACAGCTCTATCCTAAAAACAAGACTACAAAAACAAACAAAATAATAGTAAGATTATCCTTCCAGTAAAAGATAAGGTTCAAAATAGATGGAAGAAACATCTAGACAGTCACCTGCACATTTATGTGATTCAATGTGTTGCAGTTTATCCTCTAACCTGATGATGAACACTTTAAAGCCAAACTCACCGTTTCCCGAATAACAAAGCGGGGCTCAGCGTCGCTCTCTGCAGCTCTGCAATATAAACCTTTCATGCTGCAACGACGAGCTGCAGCTTTTATTTTAGAAAAACAAGCAATCTGCAAACACAGCGCTGTGGATGACAGCCTGCATCAGCTGACCTCTTCCTCTGCCGCGGAGGGAAATGAAGGAACTCTACCGCCCTCTGCTGGATGGAGTGTTTAGAAACAATTTACACATTCTGAGCTTTCTCTTCTTCTTCTTCTTCTTCTTATGGGATTTTATGGCGGTTGGCAGACTTGTGAATTGTGCATTACCGCCACCAACTGATATGGAGTAAAGCAAGAAAACAGGAAACGATTCACCCCCCCCCCCCAAAAAAAAAAAAAAAAAAAAAAAACCTGTGTAACTTAAACCAACATAATACTAAATCACATTTGCCCATATAATTTTAATTTACTCTAGGTCATCTTAACTCTGACAGTTTCTGATGGTCCCATCGGTCCTCCCATCATACTTCCAACCATCTCCCAGTTCAAATCTTTAATGTCCAGATATTTTTCTGCAGCCTTCACTATTATTTTGATTTTTTCCGTTTTTGTTGTTGTCTGTGCAGTACAATTAATCACTTCTACCATGAAAAGAACAAAATTTGTCTTTTTAACAATAAGTGAGTCTTCATCAATTTTTAGAGATTTCTCTAGAGGTTTGGAATTTGCCGTGTGTTGAACTGTAGGTTTGGGTTTTTCTGACTGAGATGGGATCCTTTTTGCAGCTTCAGCGTAGGTTATTCCGAGCTCAAATTTCATTTTTTTTATTTCCTCAGACCTTTTGCTTGCTTCACAGCCGCGATAGGCAGCAGTATGTTCTCCACCACAATTACAGCATTTTATTTTAGCTTCTTTTCCACATTTTCCGTACTCATGTTCTCCTGCACACCTTCCACACCTCTGTTTCCCTTTACAAACTGCTGCAATGTGACCGAATTTTTGGCATTTGAAACATCTCAATGGTGGAGGATTGTAGATTTTGACATTATAGCTTATGTAACCGATGAATACTTTGCTTGGTAATTGCTCTACTTCGAATTTAATTAGCACAGATAAACTGTCAGATCTTTCTCCGTTTCTTGTTGTTTTTAACCGTTTTACTTCTTTTACTTTTGCACCGCTTATGTTTTCCAGAATCTCTTTTTCAGAAATTTTTAGAGGAACTCCTCCAATGACTCCCCTGCTGATCTTTTTGTTCTCCATTAAGCTGCACTGAACTCTTATCCCGTCAATTTTGTTGATACGTATTGCTTTGCCTTGCTGGGCGCTGTCTCTGCAGTTAATTAGCAGGTCTCCACTGTACAGAATTCTGGCACCTTTGACTTCTCCGACAAGTTTATTGATGGTTTTTGTTAAGTGAACCGGATTCCAATTTGTAAAAGAGTCTGCCTGATTAACGACTTTGAATATGACTTTGAATTCATTCTGTTGTGCTGTGGAATGTATGGAATGATCATCACTGGATTGTTCTGAACTAGATTCCCCTTGAACTGATCTCTGTTTTTTCCGCTTTTTCTCATTTTTTGATGTTGCTATCTTCCAACCTTCATTGTCACTATTTCCCTCTTCCATCCCACAAGAATCGCTTCCTGTTTCCTCACTACTCACGGCCCAAGACATTTCTCCATAAGCAGCTTCAAAACACCTCTGAGCTTTCTCAGCTGCCAGGAACCTTGATAAGCTTTTCGTTCAACTTTAACAACATTAAAACTGTAGAACTATCTATTTTATTGCAGCAGTTGCGAAAAAAAATTTAAAAAGCATTTTTCAATGCTGAGTTTCTTCATACTATTGTCGGAAAAATAAACATCTGTCTTAACAATAATAGTAATTGAACTGTATTGATCTCACTATGTAGAAATTCACTCTCTGCATTTAACCCATCGCCTTGGGGAGCAGTGGGCTGCCATCATGCGGTGCCCGGGGAATAGTGTGGGGTTAAGGGTTTTGCTCAGAGAGCCAGAGAGACAGTCTGTGGGAGCGGGGCTTAAACTCAGAACCTCAGGATTCCAAGCTCTATGCCCTAACCAATAGGCTGCCACTTGCCAACATCATGAATATATGTGATATAACAGCAGATCATCGTGCATTTGCAAAAATCAGCTAAGGTTTAGAAGGAGGCGGTGTCTGCCTCTATCTAAATTGGGATTGAGCCATAGATACCCAGGCAATGGTCATTAAATGCATTTGTTATTTAATCCACAGTGAGTTTAAAAGCATCTCTGCCATAGAGGCAGTTTTGAGTTTGGTTTTCTTAGCAAGAGTAATTCAGCAGTGTTAGTAAGTGACTTTTTATTTGATTATTGTTGCAAAAAGTAATAAGTAATTAAATAATTTCCCTCTGGGATTATTAAAGTATTTCTTATTCTGATTCTGATTCAAAAAGAGAAAAAGTTTTGGAAATGGAAAGTTTTCTTTAAAAAAAAAAAAAAAAAAAAGCAGTCCACCAATCAAACTTTGAAAAAGTTCTTAATCAGAAATGTTTTTTCCCCCTCGGATTTTATTTTTCAAATTATTATATTTTTTGGGGAAAAAAAACATTTAAATATTTAATTTCATAATTATTCTATGTTTGTTCATATCTTAGGGTTTTTAAGATTGGGTGTAAATTTAGTAAATTGCATTGTTGTTTTTTTTTTACAGCTCACATTCTCTTCCCTTCTTGAGGCGGGCTTTCTATGGAGCCAGGTGCAAAGCCATATTTCAAATGGTCTGAACAGATGTTAGCAACAACATTTTGTTCAATGTGTGCATTAAGAGTAGACCTGGTCTTTAAATGAAGACAATATGGTCTATAAAATGATATCTTAAAATTCTTCTATTTATAGAACGCAATCTGGAAATGAAACATTTGAAAAATGAAAAATTAAAATTGAAACAATCGAAGTTGAAAAGATGTCTGACAAAAGTGCAAAGATATTCTCAAAAGTTGTTTTTCACTAAGAAGGCTTTTGAAGTTTCCTTTCTGGGATTGCAATTTCTTCAAATTTCCATTTGCAAAACTTACTGGCAAAAACAATGGATCAGAATTCACTCCACATGTTTGCTAACACAATTGTAGGTCTAAAAAAGCTCAACAGAAACTAATTCTTTCCTCAATCTGTAAAAAAGGTTGGACCACTAAAGAAAGATGGATTCTATCAAACTGATCAATTTGAAGAAAAGAAATACAACAACCCTTAATCAATCAAAAACTAACCTCAACGCTAAAGAACAATAACATGTACGGTATTTGTTTTTGTTCATCAGTCTTGATCACACTACAAAACTAATGGCAGGCAACAAACTATAGTGTCAGATTAATCAACATAAGCCTTAATGGTGAGCAAGAGCCTCCTCTTTCACTGCTAGTATCACATGAGCTGCTGATCAAAGACCTTGATATACTGACTGTCAGCCAGTAAATCCTGTAAAAGATGAAGTTCTGACATTTTGCTGATGTGAATCATCCCCAAAACCAAAAGCCATTAGCAATTATCTTGTTGCTGCCAACCAAACTGGGAAGGGTTGTTTTATGCACTTTCAAAGGACGGAAATGAATTTAAAAAAAATGTTGCATTAATGTCCTTTGGACAGTTGGGAGCAAATTGGAGCTGAGTGATGAGAATACAGATTTGAGGAAATACTCCCCACACACATCAGCAAAAACAGCTCTGTATCAGCGCAGTATGATGGTGAAAGGGTGATGATATGGCAAAACACAGCAGCTCCATCCAGATGTAATAATGACTAAACAGAAATCAACTTGTGTGAAGTCCACTTATTAAAGACTTGGATATGATTTCTAGTTTATTTCCTTCTCTCTTTTAAAAAAAATCTTAACTCTGACTATTAAATTCAATATTCCACCCCGTTTTTTATCTCTATTAATTTAGAAGTTGCTAGATTTCACAGATTCTTATTTTTTGTATTTCTCAAACATGACCTGATAACATTATCCCATATTTCAAAGAAAATTACACACGTATTGTACAAAATTTATTTGCTTCATTAGCCATAAAAGAATAGAATACATAGAATATCCTAGCCATAATAGCAGAAAGAGTATATTTCTTTTTAATGTAAAGAAACGACGAAAGGCGCTCCTAATCCCCTTGTGTTTATGTGATTGAGGTGAATATGATGTTCTCGCGAGATCTTACATGTCGTTGAAACGTATCGATAACATCTCGCGAGACTGGTGCAGCGTTACCCCATTTTCCAGCTGTCCCTCACTCGATCGGGATTTCTGAACCACAGGAGAATCACCGGAAGGGCTTTCGGTGATAAACCGTCACATTTTGGGAGAAAGGACAACAATTTATGGTCACATAAACACACGGAGAGCTACTTTATACAGCTTTAAGGATGGAAGCTAAACTATGAGGTAAGAAGAGGCAGTAGAGTGTCTTATGTGGAAGAATGTCCCTGAGCGGGCTGAGGTTAGCATCATGCTAACTCCTCTGGTAACGGTCCGTTGGTTAGTTTCTGCTTTTCAACAGGGACCGTTTAATTGGTGTGAACGTTAACCTTTTATATTTGACGTTTTCGGTTTATTCTGATATTTTTATTTCAGCGACAGGACAGAAAATAGGCTAACTGCTCGGAGTGTTGGAACTAGCCAATATGCTAATGGTAAATCAGTGCATCTCCTTAATGAAGCCGTTAGTGCTGGTTCCCCTCTGGCCCACTGAGGCTCTTTCTGACCCTCCTTCTTTCATTGCTAACCTGGGATAATGTAGGAGTGTTTTTTTTTTTTTTTAAGAAAGGGTTTTTTTTCTTGTCAAACATTAATCCTGGTGTTTGTCTCAGTGGTCAAATGTAACAAAAAATGCTTAGAAAACCTTCTTAACAAACAAAATACTGTCTGAGATTCTCTCTGAGCTGAAGTGAGAACGGATCAGTCCTGTCAGTGTGAACCTCTTGCTTTCTGAGCTCCATCATTCATGCTTTAATGGGGCTCACTGAGGGAGGGAGTCAGCCAGAGCTGGTTTCCATGGTAACGTGGATGCTGACAGTTTTATGGAGGTTTGGGGGTGGCGTGGTCCAAATCAACCAAGGCCCAGACATAGAGTGCGACCTGAGTTATTTATTTATCTGTTTAAATTGATCACTTTTATCCGGGTCTCTTCTGGTTCCTAAACCCTCTGATCTGCAAGTGGTGAAGTGATCACAAACATTCCAGATGTTGATAAACTTCTGGTTGCTTTCCTTTCTATAAAGCTTTAAACAGATTTGAACCTATTTCACCTCTGAAAGAAAAAATAATCTTTTAAGAAATTATACAAAAAATCTTATGAAATGGTTACATTTCCATCCATATATTAGTAGAAATTAATTATTTATATTTAAAGTAGAGTTTCTCACACAATGTTTATGAAGGCCAGGTGCTTTAAAGCTGATCCTTAATAGAGATGCAGTGATCCGATACTTAGGATAAGGTATCTGATACATTTAATTCAATGACTGCAATGATGCTAATGTTTTAAAAATGTGAATTTACTCACATGGTTAGGTATGCATTTGACTCAGTCAGTTGTATCAGATATCAGCCGATATGCTCAGCAAATGTATCAGTTCCAGATTGGATGAGAAATGATGGATTGGTGCGTCTCTGGCTCTAAATGCCGTTTTGCAAAAGCAAATAGAAAACAAGGCGTCATATAAAACCTCCTCAATCATCCTTTTTTTCGCCTGTTGTTCTGCTCAGCGGCTTGTTGGCATCTTATCATGTGTAACGAAGGATGAAGTTCTCTGTGGAAGCGTTTCTGTCCCAAGGTTGTAGTGCTTAGTTATCTTGGTGTTGGTGTGTTCATGATGTGGGACCCAGTGAATCTGATGGCTCTGATGAACTGACACAGCTCACACATCCAAACAGTTTGCTAGCCCTGCTTTATGTGACTCCTTCTGGTTGTCTAACGTTTTTCCTTCTGGGCTTTATGAAGCAGCAAAGATGGTGAGAAATTAGCCTGTAGCTAAACAACATTTATGCGTTTTCATCAAACTTAAACTAACTTCCCTGATTTCTTCAAAGCCATAAGAAATGGAAAATATAATTTTTTGTATACCAAAATGTCTGTTTGTAACACATTAAAACATAACAATTATTTGTTTTTCATAAATATAAATCCATAACCAGAGTTTGTTCACAATATTTTTCTGAGCAGGATTCATTTAGATCAGAGGTAAAACTATAGTTTTTAATAATCGACAGAACGAATAATATTTTGCAGTTTTATTAATTTCCTAAAGTTTTTGATTTGGGACTCTGTTATTTTCTGATAAAAAACCAGAGAGTCTTTAATATCACTTACGTAAAAGAGGAAGCCTCTAATCAATTCTGTCCTTTCTATTAAACCATGTTGGCAGTATAAACCTAAACTGCTCATTCCTGACTGACAAACAGTCTGCATAGAGCTTTAAATTATAGCCGCATGATCTGTAGAAGATATAACTTGCTCATTATAAAAGTTGCAGGAACAATATTGAATCTGATGAGTCCCTTTTTTTTCTATGCGTTTATTTCACTTTGTCTACATTATGAAGAATTGGTTGGCTGGATGAACCCCCCATCAATGCTGTTTAATTATTATTTTATGTAAAAATTGTGCAAATCTACCGCAAAGTGTTAATGTCTGACACTTAAAATAAATTACTCAGTCAAATATTACATGCAAACAATCCCTTATGATTTCCATATTGCAGACAGCCATATCGCAATGCTGAATGCGATATGCTTTATTGAGTAGTTAGACTTTACTGTGTGGGAACCTCCAAACAAAGCATATAAAAACCACAAGTATCAATTTAGTGGAAGACTGTATGTTTCGAGGTCTGTGAAGCGGTAGAGTTTCACCACAGGCCCATATACTTAGCTCTGTTTATCCTCCCACAGCATGAGGCTGCCACCATGTTTTCCTGTGGGCCTGGCCTCTTTAGGTACATATCAGCGTTAGTTTAACAACACACCCTGATATTGGCCAAAAGACAAAGGGTGTGAATACTTTGGAAAAGGCTTTGTGAGTATTCTTAGAGTGCAGCTTAAAGAAACATTCAAAATGTGCACAGATGTCATAAAATGTTCCACTTAAATATTTATAAATGTAGAATTACTGGGGAAGTTGATGTCTGCTGTAAGTTCCAGGGATGAAGCAATCCTGACTGTCATGGCCACCGTCATACCAGAGGCATGATTCATGACTTTGTCCGCCCACTTCCGGTGCTCTGTGTGTTCATATTCTTTATCTGAGCTTGAACACTTCCTTTAAGTTCTGTTTCTACAGTCGCTGATCTGGAACGTTCCCTGCTGGTCTAAGGAGAGCTGAACGCAGCTGAAAGGCCCTGTCAGCGCATGTCTGAGTTAAAACGGTCACACCCTGAGTATATCAACAAGTTCCTGTGGGGCTTTAATAAAGCGTGTTGCAGTGTCGGGCCTGAACAGCTGGAAGTCAGGGTCTTGGAGGTTGTCACCGTAATGTGTTGGTGTGAAACAGGCCACCCTCAGTGGGAAGGTGTTGGAGGTAGGCAGTGCGCCGGATTAATTATGCGTGAAAGAAATGAGCTATTATTACCAACATCATGAACAAAGCATCTTTTAAGATACAATCAACGGATACATCCTGGGTTTTTGGCTTTGAGGTCTAACCTAATCTTACCTTTTATGTTAATCAAACATCTGTAATATACAGGTGCTGGTCATAAAATTAGAATATCATGAAAAAGTAGATTGATTTCAGTAATTCCATTTAAAAAGTGAAACTTGTATATTATATTCATACATTACATACAAACTCATATATTTCAGATGTTTATTTTGTTTAATTTTGATGATTACAAATGACAACAAATGAAAATCTCAAATTCATCATATCAGAAAATTAGAATATTACTGAAGACCAATAAAAACAAAGGATTTATAGAAATGTTGGCCAACTGAAAAGTATGAACATGAAAAGTATGAGCATGTACAGCACTCAGTATTTAGTTGGGCCTCCTTTGGCCTGTATTACTGCAGCAATGCGGCGTGGCATGGAGTCGATCAGTCTGTGGCACTGCTCAGGTGTTATGATAGCCCAGGTTGCTCTAATAGTGGCTTTTAGCTCTTCTGAATTGTTGGGTCTGGTGTATTGCATCTTCTTCTTCACAATACCCCATAGATTTTTTATGGGGTTAAGGTCAGGAGAGTTTGCTGGCCAATTAAGAACAGGGATACCATGGTCCTTCAACCAGGTACTGGTAGCTTTGGCACTGTGTGCAGGTGCCAAGTCCTGTTGGAAAATGAAATCTGCATCTCCAAAAAGTTGGTCAGCTGCAGGAAGCATGAAGTGCTCTAAAACTTCCTGGTATGTGGCTGCGTTGACCCTGGACCTCAGAAAACACAATGGACCAACACCAGCAGATGACATGGCACCCCAAACCATCACTGACTGTGGAAACTTTACACTGGACTTCAAGCAACGTGGATGAAGTGCCTCTCTTCTTTTCCTCCAGACTCTGGGACCTTGATTTCCAAAGGAAATGCAAAATTTACTTTCATCAGAGAACATGACTTTGGACCACTCACCAGCAGTCCAGTCCTGTTTCTCTTTAGCCCAGGCAAGACGCTTCTGACGCTGTCTGTGGTTCAAGAGTGGCTTGACACAAGGAATGCGACAGCAGAAACCCATGTCTTTCATACGTCTGTGTGTGGTGGTTCTTGAAGCACTCACTCCAGCTGCAGTCCACTCTTTGTGAATCTCCCCCACATTTTTGAAGGGGTTTTGTTTCACAATCCTCTCCAGGGTGCGGTTATCTCTCTTGCTTGTACACTTTTTTCGACCACATCTTTTCCTTCCCTTCGCCTCTCTATTAATGTGCTTGGACACTGAGCTCTGTGAACAGCCAGCCTCTTTAGCGATGACCTTTTGTGTCTTGCCCTCCTTGTGCAAGGTGTCGATGGTCGTCTTTTGGACAACTGTCAAGTCAGCAGTCTTCCCCATGATTGTGTAGCCTATAGAACTAGACTGAAAGACCATTTAAAGGCTTTTGCAGGTGGTTTGAGTTAATTAGCTGATTAGAGTGTGGCACCAGGGGCCATCAATTTTGAACCTTTTCACAATATTCTAATTTTCTGATATGATGAATTTGAGATTTTCATTTGTTGTCATTTGTAATCATCAAAATTAAACAAAATAAACATCTGAAATATATGAGTTTGTATGTAATGTATGAATATAATATACAAGTTTCACTTTTTAAATGGAATTACTGAAATCAATCTACTTTTTCATGATATTCTAATTTTATGACCAGCACCTGTATAGTGGGAGTTTTTCTATTCTATGCCTCCCTATTTCATTTTTTTTGTCTCTTTGCTATTGAAGCCCGCTCTTTCTCTTTTACTCTTTCTCCATGATTGGAACCATTTTCATATCTCCCCTTATGCAAATGCTAACCATCAGACTGACCCAGAGACGCTGCTCTGATCCACCTGCAGCAGTAAGGCGGCTATGCACAAGTTTTACTGGATAGAAAATGAAACCACTCAGACCATTGGTCAGTCAGTTGGACAGACCAGCCGTTTGGGAATCATTCTTAACCCCTGCTTCCCTCAGGGTGAGTCGATGTTGTGCAACTTTAACATGCTAATTGCCCTCTCAGGTAGGGGTGGTAAATATCTTATTTAATCAAATATTATTCGGACTGTCATATATTGTTATATTATACACAAAAAAAGAGGGAATCGAGCTCAAATCATGGTCAAATGGATAACTCTGCACTTACATGTAACAACTTCACAACAACAACTGTTCAAAATATAAGAGTTTATTAAAAAATATCATTCAGCTCCAAGTCAAATATCTTTTAGTTAAAAATGACTAACAACTAGTGAAACTCAACTAAACTACTATGTCCATAGGGCAAGGGAAACATGGTTGGAAACCATAATCAATGAGATGATGCAATGATAACACAGTTCAGCATGGATCTTGTGTTTGAGAACCAAAGTTTATCTTGATCCTTGGCTCCAGTTTTTGGTGCGTCTGTCAGGTTTTTAGCTCCGTTCAGACTTCCAGAAATTCTAACCGGTTTCATAGTACCTAGTAAAGAGAAAGGAACCCCACAGCATGATACTACCACAGCTCTGTTTCACTATCAGCGTTAATGTAGTGGTCTTTATTTTTCACCTTCCATTTTTTTTAGATTAGCATCCCTTTGTATAAGGCTCTGCTGCAGCTCACTGATATGTTTTGGTGGGGGGTCCAGATGAAACCTGGTGTGAATTAATTTATTAAACATTTTACTCCTCTTATTTCTGCCCATACAAATGGCTCTTTTATTCCTGCTGTGTTGTTTACATCCTGCCTCTCCTTTTCTTCTTCCGCCTTCATTTGTGGCATGGCAGCGTTACCAGGCAACCCACTGGTTTGGCAGGACAGCAACCATCACAGCTCCTCCAGCTTCAGCTAAACGTTTCAACTTTAGTAGGATTATCAGAAGTATTGATCCTCCAATGCTGTACTTGTATCCAGTACTAATTTGGCCTAAAATCATATCTTTTTGCTATTGTTAATTTTATAAAAATTATCAATTTTAGGGCCCTACGTCGCAGAATCTCCTAAAACGCTGTCTTACGCTGAATTTATGTATTTTTTCTATTTTGGGCGTATACATAGAGTATTCATAACAAGTCCAGAGCTTCTGTCCGACAACAGCCTAACTTCTGCATAACGCGTGGCAGCGTGATGCCCAGTGCATCATTTTATGGTCATTACGAAGCATCAGTTAAAGATGCTCCCCTCAGGATGCGCCTGAGGGGAGCCGCAATGCACCCAGAGGTTGATCCATCACCCTCGCCTTCTGGCTCACCCTATGATGGGGATGAAGTCTGGAGGAGAACTGACGGTTTCCTCCTGTGAACCCCCTTTATACCAAAACGCTGCTAATACGCCATTATACAGTAGCTGGAAGTTAGAAACACGTTCAACGCTCGTCTGGAACACGTCAGATACGTTGATATGCGTTGCTCAGAGGTTTAGGATAAGCTAGACGCCACGACTTATAAGGAACTGACACTGAACGTACGTCAATAACTGACCTGGAACTGATGGCCCATGTAGAAGCATGCGCTGGCATATGTCTGGAAATTTTTATCTTTCTCAAAATTTCCCGACGTATGTCGACGTACTCAAGCATACTCCTAACTTATACAAAACGTACCCATAACTTATGCAACATAAGCCAGTGTTTTTGCCAGATTTTTGGTACGTTAGGATTACGCTCGTCTAAATCATCAAGGTGTGACAGGGTCTTCAGATTTCTAGGTTATTCTTAGATTAAAATAATTATACCCCACACAACCTAAAAATGTTGTCAAATTGTGATTTAATTGGATTATTTGACTTTTATTTGAACACTTATTTAACTTATAAGATCTGCGATTCTGTTGATAAAACAAGTTTCATGTTGATATTAAAAAATGTGAACTTTTCGTGTTAAGTTTTCATTCCCATATTTTTCTGATACAGAGTTTTAAATTCTGGTTTGGTTATAATAACCCTCATCTGTACGTTCTATTTTTTCAGTGTAGTCACTCTGTAATCACCATATCTCTGCTGCCTAGTAGCCCCATTCTTGTTGTTGTGCGGACATGACTGTAAAAACCAGATGGTTTCAGAATGATGAAATGTAACGGAGCACTAACCTTTGAATGCAAAACAAAGTGGTTGAAAAGTCTGAGCAGAGGTTGGACCCAGCGGGTCAGGCAGTGCTCTGTTGCTCTGCTGGTTTCCCCTGAGAAGGAGCGGGGCTCAATGTGTTTGTGTGGGGTTACTCTTTATTCCTCTGACCCAGTTCCTGTGCACACTCAGATGATAATAGTAAGCCCACAGACGCCTCACTATTCAGCCTGAGAAGTAGAAGAAACTGTTGCCTTCCTCTCTAACAGGGACTAAACTCATTATTTTTGGACGGTTCAGTTAGATGCTATTTGGGGTAAACTGATAACGCTCTCATTTGCCAAGTGTTGTTTTGTAGTGAAGAGGTCATAAAAGCCACAGCTTGGTAACAGCCCTCCTTAAGCTGCTGCCTGTTGAAATGTTTTTTTCCCATAATGAGCTGCAGGAGCCGAGGAGGCGGTCTGGATCCGATTAGCAAACCTGTGCTCTTACACTTCCAGATGTGTTTCTCTAAAACTAACCAAGAGAAGACAGACAGAAAAGAAAGACTTCATGATAAGAAGTGTTGAGCAGAGGGGAAAGTTTCTACAGCTCTTTCTTTGCATCAGACCAGGAGTAGAAATTAGTCTGCTTGGACATTCATCAAATTAAAGCCCCTCTAACTTTGGGAATGTGAAGCTGAGTAGTTCTAGTCTGATGACATCTGTAAACAGCAGGTGCACAAACAAACACTCACAGCTAAGGCCCAGATATTCATTGGATTCACAATAGAATCACCTTTTAACAAAATGCCACCAAAGGGCTCAGCATGTGAGCTACAGTGTCTTTATTGCTGCTGGGCACCGCTGAGGGGATGCAACTGTTTTCTAAATATTAGGTGTTGGTCTTGGTGTCACCTTCATCTGAGGCGCTGATGATGGCGTTAACGTGCCTATCCCTGATTCTGATGGTCACAGCTTATCATCATCTCTGAATAAAACTGTCTCCTTTTTGTTGTAGGCGTTGTGCTTTTGCAGAAGACTGAGTGAACCATGGCACAGTTCCCCACTGCATTCACAGGTCAGTGTGTGTACACAAAAGGGTGGGTGGTTCTCAGAAGAAACCTTTTATCAACCAAATAGCCTAAAAAAATACAGTGTATTTTTTTTTTCTTTTCTTAAATTAGAGTGTTGGCTCTAAGTTTAATTTGTCAGACGAAAAATAAAACTGTAGCTGATTGACAGAAGATGTGTCTGGCTGTCCTCTGCTGGTTACATGTCGGCCATGTTTGTCTCTGAAACATGTCAGAATAATGTTTACATGTAAAGAAGCTGGTAAAACCTAAAGCTTCTACTCTCTGGATGTAAACACAAACCCACAGCAACCTAAATATTATTGTTTAGATAATATATCACCTAAGGTTTAAATTAGAGGCATAATAAGTAACAATAGAAGCAGTTTATTTAAAACACACATAAAAATGATCAATAGCATTATTTTATATATTATAGTATTAGGCATTCTCCTTTTGGCATCAGTCTAACTCCATATTGGATTAATGTTGTGTCAGCACTGCAGAGGGTTGGTTTGGATCTAAATCGGAGCCAAATGAGTCTTTAAATCTGTTGCTCCTTAATGAAAATCTAAACAGGAAGTTTGCAGTCCTCAATCCCTCTGGAAAACTAATGCAGCATCTCATTTGAATCAACAAACCTATTAGCATGGCCTAGAACATCAAGACTAATAGGCAGGCTTATTATAGAGGAAAACCAGCAACACATTAACAGAGCCCAACCCGCTCCCTCATCATCTCCACCTTCTCCACTCACCAGTCAGACTCTGTTTGTCCTGATGACTTTCACCCAGAACTGAAACTTGTGACTCGGTCAGCTCTCTCATCCAGCCTCTGCTCGCCGTCTGACATCAGCCTTCCCTTCCAGATACTAACCATGTGTGTCTGTTAGGACAAGATGTGTTTCTCATCACTGCGGATGAAAGAGCCAAACACGACCAGCAGTTTCACAGCCTCTCCCCGACTGCTGGGGGTTACATAACAGGTAACCAGCTCATCCTAACAGATAAGACATTTATCAGCCCGGCTGAGTCAGAGCCTCCACTCCACATCCCAGTCCATTTACAGCAGTCACTGTTTCATTTTTCTGTTTTGCTTCTGCTTCACCCATTGTTTGTGTTTGCCTGTTAGGTGACCAGGCCAGGAACTTCTTCCTCCAGTCAGGCCTGCCCCCCCCTATCCTGGCCCAAATATGGTGAGTCCTGAGGCCCAAAGGAAGCGCTGGGCTTTCTTCATGCGCATAGCTGCGTGAATAAAGAAGTGATCACTTTACCATTAAGGACTAGTGGCGCTAACAGCGCTGTCACATATATACTAGGGGTGGAACGGTTCACAAAATCCACGGTTCGGTTCACGGTTTCGTGGTCATGGTTTTCGGTTCGGTATATGTTGATTGTTAGCATGACATGTTGGTCATGTAGCTGTTAGAATAAACAAAACGTATTGCACAATGCTTGCACACTGTTTTTATCCACATCTTTCTTTCCGCCGTCATCGTAGGTCACTCTAAATGCAAAGTGGTCCCATACAGCAGACCTATAAAGTGCTGCTGGCGCGTCTTCCAACTCCTGTTCTTTCCCACTCGCCATACCCACACAATTCTCCACAACAACTGATTTTTTTCCTGCTACACCCAGCTACGCTGCTTCGCTTCTTCTTCTTCTTGTTTACTACTGGTGGTTGGCTTTGGTCGCAGTACCGCCACCTTCTGCTCTGGAGTGCCTCTGAGAAAAAGGAGCAGCGCATGAACCGAACGCAACACACGCGAACCCTAATATATACTAATCCCTAATTAGTTCCATCCCTAATATATACTAATTAACAAACAGTTTTTACGCTTATTGTTCAGCTAGCATGGCTACAGGAGGAGCATTGTTAGCTTCTCTGGTAGGGGTGCACCGATGGCAGGCTCCCAGCCATCAACAATTCGGGATCTTTAAAAGGCTGACATGCCCTTTTTCATTGATACTGATTTTTTATTGGACACTGTCAGCTGTTATAAGAACCCACTTAAATATTTCAATTTTATTTTATTGAAAGGCATTATTATTTAGTACCCATGATACAATACATATCTCTGAAATTACTGCCGTCGAAAATAAATCAAAGTTTAGAGCATTGAATTTAGACCTATGTCGCGGATTTGTGTTAACGATTGGTTTGATGTGTAAATATTGGCCGATCACCAATCTCCCAAAATGAAGGTTATCGATGCCAATCAGTCTGTGCACCCCTCTTCTCTGGTCTTCATTCACAGGTGAACAGAGCAGAATGTTTTACTGCCCTATGGAGAGAATTATGGCTGCAGTTATCCTTTACCAATCTGTTCATCTATCCAATATTATTTTGATTCATCAAAAAGAGAAACTTTCAGGGATTTAGCATTTCTAGATAAATAAATAGACGTTTAGAACTAATGATTAAATTTTTTTATTTCACTGTGACCTGAAATAAATTGTAAAAAAAAAAAAATTGCAAAAAAATAGAAAAGTGAATTGTAAAAAAAAAAAGTGTCATGTGTTTCCATATATTGAGATTTTTTTGCATCTTAGATTAGAAATGCTTTCATCTTTGTCGTTTTCTTTCATAATTACTGATGTTAGTAATTATGTTGGTCTGACTGACGATTTATTACCACATTATTGGCGATTAATTAATGCATTTCATCAGATCAATTGTCCGAGTTCTAGAGGGAATTTTAAGCCTCTTTCACATGTAGAACTGCACCCAGTAATTAACTGATAATTCATAACACCTGAACGGATTTAAGACTGATATCCTACCTGCTAATGTACCAGGACCGCTGCAGTGGGATTAAAGCCGTTATTTACTAGGTAAGGGATGGGTTTCCATGTTCACGTTAAATATCCATAACAGTTCTGATTCCTGCTACGTGTCGTTAGCCTCCCTGACAGCATAGCAGACAATCAGGAGGAATGTTTTTATCAATGGCTGCAAACTGGTCAGATCCACAAAGAAAAGCGCCAGATGTCGGTCTGCTGTCTGAGCCACCCAGGACGCCGTAACCTGATGGTTTACTGATTAAATGTGTGTGTTTTCAGGGCCTTGGCCGATATGAACAGCGACGGCCGTATGGATATGCAGGAGTTCTCCATCGCCATGAAGCTCATCAAACTCAAACTGCAGGGCCACCCTCTGCCGCCGGCGCTCCCTCCCAGCATGAAACAGCCGCCGCTCGCTTTACCCCCACAGCCCAGCTTTGGTGAGACACGCATAGGAAGCTTTTCCTTTTGTTGGGTTTGTTTTTCCTGTGAAAACAGAGTTACTAATAGTCTGTCTCTGTTGCTATGGTGACCAGTATTTGTTTTACTTTGTGTTTTCATTGTTTCCCTCCAGGTATGCCTCCTATGGCACCGATTCCCACCGCCATCCCAGCCCCCCTCCCAGTCGTACCTCCACTGCCACTGCCCCCACTCCCTGTTGGGGTGTCTCCGCCTCTCGTCTCCACCTCAGCGCCTCCCCTGCCGCCACCCATGGCAAACGGAGCACCTCCCACAGCCATGATGCCCCCCATCCCAGGTTTTCCCCACCCAGGTAAAAACAGAGCAAAGCTCTTCTGATGTTTCTGAAAGTTTGGCCTAAAAGAAAAAAACTAAACACCATGGTGTTTAAAAGATCAGAAAATGTTTTTGTGTGTGTAATTTCAGCCGTTTTCTATTCTGTGCTTCCTCTCTCAGCTCCGTCTGTGAACAAGGCCGCTTCGTTCAATCGTTCCAGCACCAAGCTGCAGAAGGTCTCGTCGTTTGACGCTGCAGGGTAGAATCACAGTCTGGTTATTCTCTCTTATACAGGCGCATCTCAAACTCTACGAATATCGTTGTTTAAAGAATAGACATGCCTTTAGTTCAGGGGTCACCAGCTTGGTATCTGCGGGCACCAAGGGGCCCTCAGGGATCACAGGGGGGCCCTCAACATCTTTTGAAAACAGAACAACTCACCAGTGGGCTAAGTTTGAAATGTATTTTATTCTGTTGCTCTTTTTTTTTTAATCATTTATAGAGATTTTATCATTTTAATCAAATAGAGCATTTAAGTATTTATAGGGATTTCAAAATGGCGACATCTAAAGGTAAATCAGAAATGAAAAGAAACAATAAAAGTATGTTTATTACGTATGAAGCTTAAGAGAATGCTGTCCCTCCAGTTCATGGGTCAGTATTGCTTGCCCTTCCTTTGACTCAGTACCCATGAGGTAGCTTCGGCCTTCAAAAGGCATTCAGAACTTAACATCTGCATAACAGCACTTTAGGTTTATGGTATCGCTGCAGTTAGTGGCTCTTACTTATTGATGAACTTTTTTCACCCCGAAAAATGTGTAAAAATGTAGTAATGGTATTGAGCATCTAACCAAACAACAATTCGACCTCGGCCCTTACGCCTTGGCACCATAGAGTCATATATGGAGCACACCACTCAGTGTGTAATGTGCGTGACCAAAGCCAGTTATCAAGGCACTTGATAACTTGGTACTTTTCTCCTATTTCTGGGTAATTCCAAGCAGTTTAATCGAACGTTTGCCATTATAACATGGTTTTTAATGTTTTACACAATTTCTGCATTTATTTTCTAAGATTTGTGTTTGAGAAGCTTTGGGGTGGTTATTATAAGCACAGTACCTGTTTATATCGGTTTGTGTCATAAATGTCACACATTGCATATTTTTAAAGATTTGTCTATGGCATTGGCAATTTATAATTTCAGCATTTTTTCTTTTTATTTGATGGGGCCTCTTATTTACTATTCTAACCTCAAAACTGGCTGGTTCTGTATAGATGTAGATGGTAAAGGGGCAAAAATAGTTTTGTCACGTTACAGTTCCTCCTTTTCCCATATAAAAGATGGTTAGACTGCAGTAGCCACCTCCATATTCCACTGTTATATACAGCTCACCCAACTTATGGCATAGTCATTCATCATATGTTCTTGATACTAATTTCTTGACCAAAATTTGAGATTGGTGTTTTTGGTTGAACAACGTGTAATGTGCGTGACTTTAAACGCTATTTAGAGTGTCCCTTTGAGCCTTGACCATACGAATGGTACGTCTGCCAACAGGCAGAGGATGTTTTTTCAATAAGAACACATGCTGGAGACTCAATACAGTGAATATTATTATAAATATGGATAGTTTTAATGGAATAAGTGTAAAGTTAGGCTTCTATTTCAGAAATTTTAGGAAAATACAAGGTTGGGAAATATTTAATGTGTCATATCTTCAAAAGTGTTTGGCAGACAGACTCTCATATGGTACCAATTTGGACAATTAATAAGGGAATAGTAGGAATTATATTGTGGTTCTACAGTACATTCAAACATTTACCGTTACAATCATTACGCTTTTTTTAGTATGGTTTTCTGCCTCCAACTCTAAAATCTTACCCATCAGGAGTTAGCCAAGATATATGGCTAGAAATAAAACACATTGTTATAAAGTAATATGGAGGGTTAGTGTTTAGCATAACTGTGGATCTAAACACCTGTGGTGTTTATGCATGAGTGTGTTTGTTTCAAAAGGTTTAAAATGCTTCTTTAATGCAATACAAGTTCAATTCATCTTATAAAAAGACTTCATTATTAAGAAGAGGGAAATAAAATGTTGAAATAAGTCAGTTTTTTATCCGGGTGTTGATAGCTGTATGCAGGAAGGATCTTCTGTAGCGGTCTGTCTGTCTTGCACTGGATCTGGAAAAGCCTTTGAATGAAGACACTTTGAAAAATCTTGTGAAGAGGATTCTCACTGTTGTCATTGGTCTTCCTTACTTTACATTCTTTAACATTAAGAGCCCAGGGCTCCATTTATCCTAAGGCTCTCCAGAATAAAGCGACACAGGGATATTCATTGATATTCTGATGTTCTGAGATGCACCTGTATCTGCTAGAAATGATAAAGAAAGAACACAGCATAGAGATGGTAAACCTCTAATGTTCTTTTGATCTCCTCCCAGTGCTCAGCCTCCCTCTGACTGGGCGGTTCCCCAGTCCTCCAGATTAAAGTACAGACAGCTTTTTAACTCCCATGACAAGATGATGAGTGGATACCTCACCGGTGGGTTGACACATTTAAGATCAGCTTTTTGTTCCCCGTCTCATGCTAACGTGTTTATCTGAACCATCGTAGGACCCCAGGCTCGCACTATTCTGATGCAGTCCAGTCTTCCTCAGACTCAGCTGGCTACGATCTGGTCAGTACAGTTACAGTCAACCGTTTCTTGGTTTACAAAACAATAATAAAAATGCGAAACTCTTTTTGTTTTGGTTCTGTTTTCCTTAAGGAGTCTATCAGACATCGACCAGGATGGAAAGCTAACAGCTGAGGAGTTCATCTTGGCTATGCACCTTATCGATATGGCAATGTCAGGGTTACCGCTGCCTCCAGTGTTATCAGCAGAATACCTACCACCTACCTTCAGGTACTCACACCCTTTCCTCGTATCTGTGGAATGAAACCACTAACTTTTTTCAAAGTGTTGTTGATTCTTTGGTTAAGCGGCTAAATAGATGAGCATGCTGGGATTGTATCTGTGTTACAGGCGGGTGCGGAGTGACAGTGTTCAGTCAGACCAGAAGAGTGTCCATGAGGAGGCAGAGGAGGAGAACGAGAGCAACCAGGAGAAAAAGCTACCAGGTGACTTGATGAGTTTGTTCTGCCTCCATGAATTCCTGCTCCATGGTGTCCTTCCTGCACAAAAGTGTTCAACAGTTCTTTTGATTTGTGTGGCTGTAGATGCTGTGATGTTTTCACAGCTGCCAGAAGTTCACAGTCATGGCTCTGAGTAGAGATGCACCTTTTTCACTGTCTGTAGTTAAAAAATATTGCATCATAATCTATTTAACACATTACTGTTTACTATACTCTATTAATTAAACTGTCTAAAGCCTTTCTTTCACTCATTTTGATTAATATCCAGTACAAACAAGCTGACATAATTAGGCGCAGCTGTTGTGATAAATACATACAGATTCCTCTTTGGATGTTCCATTATTGTAGCAAGCAAAAAACACGAAAATTAAAAAGAAAAAAACGATTGTATAAATTGAAATTTGTAAAAGATAAAATCCAGAAATGAGACTTTGGAAAACTTTTCTTCTAATTTATTTTTTTTTTTTTTTTTGAATTCCTGTTGTATATTCTATATTTTATATTTTAAAATTATAATTTTTTCCTTTTAAGTTTTCTCATATATTTTTCAACCTCTTTTGTTTGTTCACATTAAGTTATTCAAATTATGATTTCCAGATCTAATTCTCTATATGTTTGGGGTGGGCTTTCCTCTGGAGTGAGGAACGAAGATGCATTTCTATTGGTCAGCTGGAGGTTAGCAACATTTTTATTGGTCAGGAGCGAGCGTTTGTGTGGGACTTGAAGTGAAGAGAGTTTGATAGAGTGAAATGTGTAAAACTCATTCTGAATAACGGAAACTTGAAAAAAAAAATTGAAAATATAAAAAATGTTAAAAATAATATTTGGAAAATAAAGGGATAAAAAAAAAAAGGATTAAATTAGAATTTGAAAAAAATATATATAATGTAAGGAGGAAAAAATCCTCCCAAATTCTTTAAAAAAAAAAAAAGGTTTTCTCTCTGGATTTAAATTTTTTATTAAAATTTTCCAATTTTACAAAATATGTTCTCTGCTTGCAACAATGAAACAAAATTCCCTCCATAGAAACCTGAAAGCTGTCTCCTTAATGAAGAGAGAAACCTGGTCTGCATCTCTGTTGCTTGTTTTTTTTCCTTATTAATAAGTTTTTATTCTCTAGATGTTTTCATTAAAGCTTACTATTTTTCTCACTGCCCCCTCAAACAGTGACATTTGAGGATAAGAAGAGGGAGAACTTTGAGAGAGGAAACCTGGAGTTGGAGAAAAGACGTCAGGCTCTTCAGGAGCAACAGAGGAAAGAACAGGAGAGGCTGGCAGCGCTGGAGAGGGAGGAACAGGAGAGGAAGGTGGACTGTCCTGCTGCTCTCTTATTTCCATTTGCCTTAGTCATATAGTTTATGGTGCTGTTCTCTATCAGTCGGTAATTTCCACCAACAGAGGGACCATGAATAACGGACTTTTTATTTTTATTTGTATGGTTATATTTGAATCTTTGTGATCCAGGAGCGCGAGCGTTTGGAACAAGAAAGAAGACGACAGCAGGAGCTGGAGAAGCAGCTGGAGAGGCAGCGAGAGCTGGAGAGGCAAAGAGAAGAAGAAAGACGCAAGGAGATAGAAAGGAGAGAGGTAGAGAGAAAGAAGGATTAGCAGTTTTCTGCCTTTCAGACAAGTTGGAGTTCCAGATCTGTTATTATCTGAGCTGTAATCACCCATTAAAAAGCTTCTAATGGCTTTTTTTTACCTCCCATGTGGAATCTGTGTTTACAGTAAAGAAACGGAAAGATTTGCCTGTTTATGATGAAACACATCCCATTATAATCTCTGTTGTGTAAGTTTGAAGATCTTGATGCAGATTCATTTGAACTCAGCATGTGTGTGTCTGTGTCCCAGGCTGCTAAGAGGGAGCTGGAGCGCCAGCGTCAGCTGGAGTGGGAACGGCAGCGCCGCCAAGAGCTTCTAACTCAAAGGAACCGAGAGCAGGAAAGCATAGTGCTGCTCAAAGCCAGGAAGAAGACACTGGAGTTTGAGTTGGAGGCACTGGTAATAATAAAAAAAGATCTGCAAACACCAGGCCTCATTTATTAAAGCCTTCTAAGCTCTGTTTACAAAACTGTGCCGACATTCTTTTATCTAAGCGGGTGGAAACTTGTGTTTTCTACATTCTGCCCCCATTCTTTTAATATTTTGGTGGAAACAAAATTGGAGACATGGCTCAGAGTTATCTGTCCAAGGTAAATAGGTGGGGTTTAGTAACAGAAAAGTTTTTCTCTGCAGGTGAGATGGAAAGGAGAGATAAATGCCAAGTTTGAGATGTAAAAATGGATATTGTTGTTTCAACTATCTAGTTACAACTGATGGAAACAGAGGAATAATCTGAGCTTTTTACTGTGGCATGTAAAAACTATTATGCAATATCTATTTACTGCTCTGCAGAATGACAAGAAGAACCAGTTGGAAGGTAAATTGAAGGATGTTCGGTTTCGTCTTTCAACCCAGCGGAGAGAGATGGAGCAGACCAATCAGACGAGAGAAACGCGCATCGCTGAAATCACCCAGCTTCAACAGCAGCTTCAGGTTCGCTTCACCAAACCTACACATTGTTCCCTCTCTCACATTTATCCAAGCCTTCATCTTGCACACCTTTGGAGACGCTGTTTTTGTTTTCTTTACATTTTATTGCATTTAAGCAAAAAAATGTTTAATAGGTTTCAATTATTTCTGCTGCTAAATTGACGCTGCTGCTTTTCTGTTTCATGCAGGACTCCCAACAGTGGCTGGGGAGGCTGATTCCTGACAAACAGAATCTGAATGACCAGTTAAAACAGGTTCAGCAGAACAGTTTGCACCGTGAGTCCTGTGTGCATGGTAGACATTCTACATGGCAACATAAACATATAAGGGTTCCCATTCAAGCTGGAAAAGGAAGGAACCTTCAATTATAGATGATGGAGTGGGGCCTGGGTTTCTCTTCCAGTGATAGCTTAAAGTAGAGAGCGCATAAAGTTAGAGGTCAAAATAAGAAATACTGCAGAATGGGAAAATAGACCGAAGCACAGTGATGAAAAGTGGGCCCTATGTCCTCCAGCAGCATAAGCCTATAGCAGGAGATAGCTTATTATGGAGATGTTCCCATTCTACTACCCAGCTCTACTTTTAGAAACTCTAGGAACCTCTATTCCTCTGTCCATACACCATCCATTTCATGTTTCAAATCAGACCAATGTGAAACTGTTCACCTTAGACTTTAAATTTATGCTTCAAAATCTGCTTGAAAAAGACAGTTAGACTTTTGACAGGAAAAATCTGTTAGAATAACATAAATTCTTCTCATAGCTTTTAAAATTGACTATTTACAAGTTAGGAGACTTGACCAAAACAAAGTCATTCACTCACACACTGATGATGGCAAACTACATTGTAGCCACAGCTGCCCTGGGGCTCACTGACAGAAGTAAGGCTGCCGTACACTGGCGCCACCGGGCCCTCTGACTATCGTCAGTAGGTAATGTAGCTGAAGTGTCTTGCCCAAGGACACAACCACTATGAAAGCTTGGGCTTGAACCGACAACCCCTCCGTTTGCAGGGCAAACTCCTGCATCCGACACCACTGTGGCCCCACGTCCCCCCAGTCAAACTCTAAATATCACAGCTACAGTAGGAAAACTCCCAGTGAGGCAGGGGCTTTATCAGCGGCCTGAATTAATCAGACTAACCTGATGCCTGCTGCTTTCTGCCTGTTTCAGGTGATAGTCTGTCATCACTGCAGAAGGCCATCGAGCAAAAGGAGAGCAGCAGGCAGCAGCTCAGAGAGCAGCTGGATACAGTGGAAAGAGAGACCAGAGCCAAGCTGTTGGAAATAGACGCCTTCAACACACAACTGAAGGTAATTATTCACTGCATTCATACCAGGCATCATGAAAGAAAGAAAGAAAGAAAGAAACTATGCAAATAAAAGTCTGAAACATCACTCCAAGCTTGATTTGTTAAAGAAACTTTAAATTTAAATAAAAAAAAACTCACTTGTACATTTATAGTGTTTGTTCAAATTCTCACTTAGGTCTATTTCTGTTTTTTTTTTTTTTTAAGAAATCCAGAACCTTTAACATCAGATTCAGTCCCTTAGATATTATTTCACCTGATATTAAATGATCTCAATCATTCAGCATTATAAAAATAAATAAATCAAAGCATTAGGCTGATATTGTTCACTTAAAGCAAATATTTATATCATAACATGACAAGTTATTCATTCTGTTTCCCAAATCAGTTATCAGTTAAATGTCCAAACAATAACCTTAAGACCTAAACCAGACAATAAAGTTGGGATTGTTGCCTTTTCAATAGTGAGTTTTTATATAAGTTAGGATTTTCTTCCTATAAAGTCTATGAGCAGCCGAGACGAGATATCTAACCAATCAAACACTTTGACTGTAATGCTAGATCAGGCATCCCCAAAGTCGGTCCTCGAGGGCCGCTGTCCTGCAGGTTTTAGAGGTCTCCCTGCTTCAGCCCAGCTGATTTACATTGATAGTTGATTAACAGGCTTTTGCTGAACTGCAATCATCAGAATCAGCTGTACTAAAGCAGAGAAACCTCTAAAACCTGCAGGACAGCGGCTCTCGAGGACCGACTTTGGGGACGCCTGTGCTAGATGAATCCAATGCTGACATGTCCCATTCCCACTGCATTCATTTCAAAGCCCGGTCCTGCTGTACTTTATTGGTGCGTTTCTGTTTATATTGGTGTTGTAGCACTGCTGTCGTTGCTAGTTGTTGTGTTTTGGGGACCAGGTTGTGTTTGCTGGTTTCAGACTGCAGCTTCCTGCTCGGTTTGCAGCTTTGACCTTTTCACATTTGCACCCACGTTAGCCACAAACTTCACTTAATTGGGATTTACGTAAAAAAAAAAACAACTAAAGGAAATCATACATAGTTTCAGATTGTTTTTCTCTATGTAAGCCTTTGACCACTTACTGTATGTTATTGTTATAGAAATTAAAAATGAGAGATGTTAGTCTGTTGGATTGTTTTTTTTCCACTGGCGGAAATCTTTTGGACCTCCTGTTCTGAAGAACCCATCAGTCTGGTCAGGGAGAGCAGCTCCACTTTTTAAACCTCAATCATTTCTCTTCCATTTCACACATAGTTGCTGTTGTATGATGGTTGGTCACACAAATAAAGACGTCAAGACGTTGGTGGTTATATTCTGGCAACATGTGAAAACAACAAACATTACAAACAAGAGACTAGACCAGGTCAGATAGAGCAGATCAGTCAGCCAGACACAGACAGCTGCAATAAGGCTGTAGATCAGTAACTATGGAGACCATTTTAAACTGATTTCCTAACAACTAATGCAATAAATTCAGCTCCATATTTATTTGGCCTCTGCGACACAACAGAAGGGCTTGAAGAAAGCAGCCAGTAAATAAAAACACTGCTTCCTGTGATTGACAGCCCCCCCCCCCCCCCCCCCCCCCCCCCCCCCCCCCACCACCACCACACACACACACCAGCTGAACTACCTGGATCTCGTCTGTCTTCTCTGTATGCTCTAAAACTGGGGCTCTGTTTATTTTTGCTCCTGGCTGTTTTTGTCTATTTATTGTTTCTGCTTCCTCGGCCTTCATTCCTCCCATTCGTTTCTCCCTGTTGTTGTTTGTTCAATCCAAATATTAAACCGCTCCTTCTATATTTTCTACTCCTTCTCATTTACCTCCCCACACTGGCCTTTTGCTCCCATGCCAGTGTCTGTGTGAGTTCTATGCCAACCACTGTGCCAGGATAGAAGCCCTGCGACGCCAGCTTCACCGCCAAGAGAAAGGGAGACAGGTAGAGCACACTGCCACTGCTGGAATGGGGTGGTACTGCAGTTGGGATACACTATTGTAATGAGAGGTCCACTGTTAGCAGTGGGCTAACTCTAAGGTCAGTTTTTGTGTTTTAAATTGGATTCTTACCAGGAGACTAACCTGCTTTTGACTTTTAACAACCAGGAACCAGAATCCTGAAACGCTTGATTTGTTGTGATGGTTGAATTTAATCCAAGTTTATAACACTGAGTGGAAGCAAAACAAAAACACCCAGTTTATCCTGATTCTATTGATGTAAACGTTTTTACCCCCGGTGTGAGAAATAATCACACCTCTAAGGAGGAAGCATGCACTGGTTTATTAAAGGAATAGTTTTACTTGAGGTAATCCATTAATCCATTGAAACTTTAAAAATACTAACAGATTGTTTTTTTTGTTTTTTTATAATACAGGGTATATTTACCAAATCTTTCATTTGATCAAAATAAAAGTGGACAAATAGTATCAAACAATTTTTGACATCTGATTTGATTTCCAGAAGTCTAATCTGAACTTTTCTGTCCATTTGGGTCACATGAACCATTGTTTTGACGTAGAACGAAAGGGCGCACCGAAGACAAGAACTTAGCTGGAGCTGAATTTCAGTTCAGCGTAATTAGCTTTAAAAAGCAAACCGTTTTATTTAGTAATTTTCTCTCCGTCAGCTTGTTGGAGTTTTACATTTCCCTGAAACTGCCATAGAACCGTCCTGCACGCCATGAGCCACAAACAGTGACGTCTTCATGGAAACCACTCTCTGGTTCTTCAAAAACTCTCTAGTATTGCAAATTTTACTTTCAGACTCCTAACAGATAAATTTGTCAAACATTCTGGAACGTTCTCCAATGTCCAGCAGAGGCACAAATCCTCCAACCAAGCAACAAAGGACCAGATGACAAACTTAGAGCCAGTAAAGTTGGTCTACGACTGATAAAATAACTCCATGACAGAAGGAGCAAGATGGATTATTAGTCTTATGGCTTAAGGAGAAAGGTATCCTCAGTGGTATCTGTGTTTTAATTGGACTAAATGTTGAATAATAAACATTCAGCTCCTTAAGCAATGCTTTATGTTTAGCTCCGCTGTCATCGCTCTGCTATCAGTTTTAGAAATACAACTTTAACTTTGGTCTAGAACAGATGTTCATCTTAATACTCATGTAATGTTCACACTTCTGTAGTAGGAGTAATAAAATATCAGGGCTTTCTTAAAGAAAACTTTGATCAGTCTGGTGGTTGAAGAACCTGAACGATGGATTAAAAACAATATAGAAACAATGTTTTGTGTTGCTTTGGTCATATGTTTATTTATTCAGTAATTTAGGAGAAAAAATACATTTTTAAATTAAAAAGTTTTTTAATTTGTCAAGATATTGTTTTATTAAAAGGCAATAAATTAATTACAGACATTATGATGAATTCAATTATATATTCTAATTGCATTCTTCCATTTTTGTAAAACAATCTTTTTTTAAGCATTTTCCTCATATTACCGGTAATAGGTCTTAGGTTGGTTTTCTGGTGGGCATTGTTGAGCTGAATGAAAAAAGTGAAATGATGGCAGCATCAGCTTGTTTGCATAACACTCACTAAACCTGCTTTTGTTCAAATGTATTAATCAGCAGAGTGAATCACAGAGCCGCCGCCTTTTATGAGTCACAATCAGAGCTTTTTCATAAAAAAATGTTGCAGTTTGGGCTAAATTCCAAACATCTTTGGTTCAAAGAATGTTAAACCTTTAATGTCTATAATATTAGAGATGTTATATTATAAGATTATGATTAATTCATGGATTAATATTATTAACAGATTGGATTAAAAACTGACAGAATCTTTAAATGACTAAATTATGACCAGTATTCCAAAAAAGTTAAAAATAAAAGTTTAAAAAATAAACCACTAGGCTTTGCTTTCCAAGTTTGAAGACGTTTTGCTTCCCATCTAGGAAGCTTTTTTAGTTCAAATGTCTGGATTAACGTTGAGTTTTATAGAGTAGCCCAACAAAGCCTTGTTTTGGCGTAGAAAAGATGCTAATTAAACTGGAAGAACAGGTCCATCCCCGAACTAATGGGGAGCCATTGAGGTCTTTGTTAGCCTAAAATACTTGATGCTGGCCTATCCCTCTGGAAAGGGCAGTCGTTAGGGTCATTGTTGGTGACCAGGCCAGATACCGTGGTTCCCTGCTTGGCCACGAGCATTGAAGGAATCGACTCTATCGCTGCATTGTAGATTTTTTAAAACTTGAAATCCACCCCCTCTGTTTAAGGTCCATTTTTCTTAACATAAATTGCATCCTTCACGCCCCTCTCAAACCACCTGTCTTCTTTGTCCAAAATGTGAACAAAGAAAGTCCTTTGTCCATAAGGTGTGAATGTACTGCAGTCTTGTCCAGAGGAGGACAGTCCAGAAAAGGTAGCTTGTTGTTGGCATCCTCTCTGGCTAACTGGATGTTGTGGTCCATGGAGTTGATGTGTCTTGTGAAAGCTTCCACTTCTTTTAGTTGGGCTTTGACCAATGTTTCATCCACATATCTAAACCAATGTCTTGCTGGTGTTTCTCTTGGTCTCTCTTTTACATTTCTTCCATGTAAAGATTGGCTAAAATTGGTGACACAGGGGATCCCATGGCACAGCTATGCCTCTGTCTGTAGAAATTATCCTTGAACTTGAAATAGGTTGTGGAAGGACAAAGGTCCAGTAGGCTGCAGACCTTTGTCACACAAACTCTCTGTTGTCGGAACCGTACAGCACCAGACCGAACATGTCCCTACTATGGTAGAGGTGCATCCTGCAGAGCTTTTCGGGTGTCTGGTGGAGCGCAGCGCGTTTTGAGGCACGTTTTTGTTGGTGCGCATCTACAGCATCAGACGCGGGGTAGAAAAATGTGAACCATTACTGAACATCAAACAATCAGAGCAGCTGATCTGGGAACTGACAAGGAGACAGAGACTTCCTCCAAGCTGTGATCTCTGCTCCTGAAGTGCTATCAGCATTAAACTATCAAATGCAAACAAGAATATTTATTTATGGGCCAGGAAGTTTTTTTTTTTATATGAAAAGAAAAAGTGAGCATCCTCGGATCACTCAACTAAAAATTCCTGGCAAAATTAGTTTGGATCTTTATTTGTTCTGTGTGCAGTTTTTACCACTAAAAATGATATATCTGCTTCCAGCTGCTATGGACAGCAGCAGGAAATCCCACATTGATTGGTCAGCTTGATCTATTGCTGGATTTCCAGAGACCGCTCCCCTGCCCCTATGCAGCGTTCTACCACAGAACAGCTACAAAATATTTCAAGCTAGGATCATAATCCTGAGGAACATCACAGCAAATACAGCAAAGCCAGTCTCTCCATTGTATTTGTCATCGTTCACAGAGTCTGGCAAAGGGCCTCCGAAGGGTCGGCGAACAATTAGCTCGACGTCTTAACTAAAATTCTCTCGATGCTCGTCTGACTCCAATGATCTGGACGAGCATCAGAGAGGAGGTGTTGGACAGCTTCTTGAAGGTCGAAAAGCCCTTGGTGTGAATTCAGCAGTATTGTGGCTCCTAAAAGGCTGATCCATCCCCAAAAGGGGAAATAGTTCTGTCTGATATTCTTGTACGATTTTCCCAGTTTGATCGACCGGCATGCTTAAATAAAAACATTTGAATTTATCTTTTGCTAAAGAAGGGCTAACTTTCTGAGCTTATATAGGACCGATGTCCTGAACCTGTTGTACGCGTCTCTGCTTCATCACACTTGAGTGAATCAGGTCTGTTGCTAGGCTACTTCAACTCATTGTAGACCTACTGATGTTTCAGCTGGATACGAAGCAGGGTGGTTACTCCATATAAAAATAACAAAAAGCCGACTTAATGTGAACGAGTGTCTGTGTGTGTTTGTCTCATATCTCTCTCCCACTTCCTGCTCCAGCTGATCCGGACTTGTCTGTCTCCCTTTTTGGTTTAATTGTCCTTTAAAGCGTCCTCACGTTGGCTGAAACACAGCATATGCACTGCATCATTTTTTAATTCCAGAGTGGTTTCTAATGGCACAGATGGTTGTCATGGATACACAGAAACGTCCACATCCATCTCCTTCTTCTCCCTGCTGCACCCCTGTATTTGTTGACTCCTTATAACCATTTGTTGACACTGAAAAGTTGCTGGTGCAAGCTCCGCCCCTTTGCATCTATTAGTTCATCTTTAAGCCTGAGAGCAACAATAATTCAAGGTAATTAAACAACTGTAGGAAAAGGTATGAGTTAAACAGGACTGTAATGTTTTAAGGACCAGCTTGGGGGGGACTTTTTAATTTAATAATGCCTTGTTTTTTTTCTTTGTTTTGTCAGAATTTTTTCTTCATAGTTCGTTTCCCCTTTTAAAACAAATTTACATAAACATCAACAAGCCAAATAAAGATGTATCTAATAATCGGACAGTGTTGGTGAAGATTCTCAGTCATCCAGGTCATAGTCAACCCAAAAAAAGTTAAAAATCAAACCACTAGACTTTGTTTCCAAGTTTGAAGTTGTTTCTCTTCCCATCCAGGAAGAGTTTTCAATTCAAAATGTCAGACATAGCATTGAGTTCCAAGCTTTATACAGTAGCCCATCTGTATAAAACATGAAATTGTTTTGAAAACAATTTAAATGTTTTCCAGACAAAAACGAGGCTTTGTTGGGCTAAAGCCTCAAACTCAACGATTTTCCTGACATTTTGAATTGATAAAGCTTCCTGGATGGGAAGAGAAACGTCTTCAAAGCGTAGAAACAAAGTCCTGTGGACTGTTTTTTTACTTTTTTTGGAACAATCTGACAGGTTTGGACCAAAATAATCCTGTATTAAAACAGGTTTTACATGAAAGTTTTAGTGGGTGGAAAAAGCTCCCCGTTACCGTATCTGGAAAATGCTCTTAGATCTGGGATGTTTGGATTGTGGGTTTCTTTTATTGCTGTCTGTGAAAACCATTTTTGGTTTTGTAACGGACATCTTAGTATCGACCAATAAATCATAACCCATCATAAATATGTTCTTTTATAAACCTTAAAAAGTTTAGATGTGTGTAATAACATAACATTATGTTGTCATGTGATTAGTCCAATCTTTGGCTATAATCAAACCTTTTCAATTATGTCCCTAATGTTTGTCCTTAAATGTCATTGGACCATCCAATGCTTAAAAAACAGTCACTATGACACTGTGATGCTAAGTTGAATAACTGTTTAAAGGGTTCAAATAAGGCCTGTTAGGACATATTTATGAAAAGTTGTCTTTACAAAGGCTTCATAAAAAGTCAGCTTTGCATTAAATGTGTCATAATTGCAATAATAACCACAACAGTCGTTAATATTCTGACTCCGTTGGCTTCATCTCAGCCTCACATTTTAATGATGGTTTCCTTTAGTTAGAAGCAAACTGTCACGTCCTCTGATGACTGAGCCACATGCTTCCTGGTTTTTCTGCACACTCTTCAGTTTTGCTCACATGCTGACTGACACATGTGGAGACGTTGCACCACTTCAACCAGTAACAGTCGGCCAGTTGGATAAAAAGAGGACAGGATTTGCTTTTGAAAGTGACTCACACTAACCGTCGCCGTGTCTCAGCTGTCAAACCAGTTCTGTTGAAATGTTTCAAACTGACAGTTCCACTTAAACACCAGGTTTATCAATTAGAACAAACAATCAGAGGATGAATTATTAGTTTTATTAGTAGATTTTTGCTTTCTTTATTATAGAAACACCTCAGTCAATGTTTGGAGGAAATAATTTTGTTTTTTTACAGTCTGAATCATTTTGGACAGATTCTGTTGGTCTTAGTTTCTACAGTCCTCAGTTGATGAATTTGAACATTACCGCAGAAGAGGACCGTCCAATGGGACCCCAGTAACTCCATCAAAAGGGGCGGAGCTTGTATCAGTCGTCTGACTAATGCAAAAAGTGTCGCTGCTACTGGTGGTCTTGTTCTCTGCGTCGTTGTTGATGGTAACCCATAGCAACCTACCCTCTGACCCCACTTGGCCCTCATCGCTGTTCCTTTCCTGTATACCATGGTGCTTTGCAGGAGCTGCGGGAGATTCACAGCCGGCAGCAGAGACAGAAGCAGAAGGATCTGGAAGGAGGCGCTCAGCCGCTGTCCTCCCAGAGGAAGTCAGCCGAGCTGGAGGAGAGCCGGTAGGACTGTTGGATATGGAATTAGAGGGACTTAGGAAGGTTTGTCAGACTTTACCTGAACTTATGTCATCATGCAGGTTATCCTCAAGGGAAGGCGTGGCCTGGCGGGGTGATGCTGGAAGCTCCGCCCCTAAAGCTCCCAGCCCAGCCTCTGTGTCTGCATCCCACGCCTGGCTCAACAGGGTGACTCAGGAGGAGGAGGACAGAAAAAGGAGAGGGATGGAGGAGGACGAGGAGGGCAGGAAGGGAGCCGCGCTGGAAGAGAAAGAGGCTGAGAGTCAAAGCCAGAAGGATGTCCAGGAAAAACTCAACACGCTGTTCATCCAGCCAGCCGACCCCTGGGTTTCCACAGGTGGGTCCCCGCGGCTTAAGGTGTTCTCTGCATTGTCATGGAGACAAACATTATATCCCTTTCCCACTTGTGGAAAAACTGTGTTAAACCTGGGAACAATCGACTTTTAGTGACAGTGGAACAGCTCGCTTACCCGCGTCGTCCCGGGTCAAATGACTTGGTTAGCGACCCGGGTTCAAATGGCTGGGCTCCAGCACCAGCACAACGTACAGACGTCAACACAACATGCCAGTCCCGTCTGATCTAATAAGCTGAAACAACTCTGTTTACGTTTGATAAACATGGCGAATCACTGGTAAGAGGGATTTGTACAGAGAAAAGTGAAACAGCAAAGCACACTGACTACGCCCTGGCTTCCTCACATGTTGCTCTCCATTGTTTACTTTCCTGATTTCTGTCGCACTGGTGACATCATCAACGCTAACCCAGCATGAAGGCGTCACCAGACACACAGTGGCAGGGGGACAGAGGCCATGCAGCTGCCAATGGGAAGGATGCCACTAGCCTGGTTGCCAAATGCTAATTGTTAGCGGGTCGACACATGTTTGAAAAACTGGTGTTAATCTGCTATTTTCAGTGGGAAAGAAGCTTGATTCCAGGGTTTGGCATCAAGCACATGTAGCGAAGAATTAACCCGCTCTAATGTTTAAAATGCCCCATGTATATTTTTCCTTTAAAGTCTAAATGCCAAAGTCAAGTTAGGAAATGCAAACAGGTTACTGGGGTAACAACAACTAGAAATCAGAGATGGCGCTGGTTTCGTATTAGTGAATTTGTTAGATGCATGTAATGAACTGTTGGTCAAAATATCCTGTAAATAACACAAACATGAAACATTTGGCGTGTTGAAAATATTACATGTCAGACAAGAGAAGGTCCAAATGGTACACTAATTTACCGTATTTTCACGACTATAAGGGGCACTTAAACGTCTTTTTTTCCCCTAAAAATTTGCGGTGCGCCCTTTGGTGCGGTGCGCCTTATGTGTGTTGTAACTGTGTCTTTTGAGACCACCTCATTGAGGAGATGATGAAAGAGTGGCTGAATGTAAGGAGACCAGGTGTTTTTTTTCCACTCATCACCATCGCTGTTAATATGTAACTCCATGCGTGCCCATCTCACAGCTGATGAGAAAAACATGGGGAAACAAATTAACGCTGTGCTCGCTGTTCAACCGCTCGACATCGGTGTGAACCGGACCCAGCAGGTGCAGCAGAAGCAGCGAGTTTACATGCAAAGTCAATGGTTGACGCGCGTATAGGTGCAGCAAAAGGTCCCGCAGCGCGTTTTGAGCAGCAGGCGCAGCGCGTCGGGAGCGTTTAAGCATCTGACGCACCGCCAACGCGCTGCTGCTGCTCGAGATGGAAAAATTGAAGTTTTGCTGCTGGACGCGCCGCATCAACCAATCAGAGAAGCTGATCTGGGAGCTGACAGCGAGACAGACACATCGCTCTGATGACATATGATATTAAATGAAAAAGGCTGGATGGATGAGGAGATGATGAAAGCGTGGCTGAGGCAGGTGTATGTGAGGAGACCAGGTGGTTTTTTCCACGCATCACCATCGCTGCGTGCCCATCTCACAGCCGATGTGGGGAAAAAAAGGTGAATCAAATGAACGCTGTGCTCGCCGTTATCCCGGGGGGTCTGACAAAGGAACTTCAACCGCTCGACATCGGTGTGAAGCGGCCGTTCAAAGTAAGGCTGCGAGCGGCGTGGGAGCGGTGGATGACAGACAGAGACCACAGTTTCACGATAAGTGGAAGGCCGCGCCGGGCAAGTTACGCCACCGTTTGCGGATGGATTGTTGATGCTTGGACTAACGTGTTGCTGGCTCTGTTGTTCAAGCTTTCGCAAAAGCCGGCATTATTTCTGAGGAGCTGCGCTGCACGGAAAGTGACTCTGACAGCGAAGAAGGGGAAACTGGCATGTCTGATTTAGCGCAGCTGTTTAATTCAGAAACAGAGGATGATGACTTGGATGGGTTTGATTAATACTTTGTAATAAATACATGAATAAAGCACAATCATACTCAGTTTTGCTCCCACTCTATTTTTCTACCTGAACACTTAATTCAACAGCAGCCTCTGGCCGGGTCTCCTCCTCTTCACCGCGGTGGCTGGCAGGTGTTTTTTCATCTAGGCAAGGCAAGGCAAGGCAAATTTATTTGTATAGCACAATTCAGTACAAAGACAATGCAAAGTGCTTTACATGATTAAAATACAGGAAGATAAGACAGAATCAAAACAAGTAGGAAAAAATAAAAAACAAATAAAATAAAATAAAAAATGCAGAAACAAAAAAAGAATATTAAAAACAGTTGGATTAAAGAAAACATGTTTCAGTTGAGCTGTTTATCTAGAACAGTCGAAGGCAATCCAAAACAAATGTGTTTTTAGTCTTGATTTAAAGGAACTCAGACTTTCCGCACTTTTACAGTTTTCTGGAAGTTTGTTCCAGATAAGTGGAGCATAGGAACTAAATGCTGCTTCTCAATGTTTAGTTCTGGTTCTAGGTATGCAGAGCAGGCTGGAGCCAGAAGACCTGAGTGGTCTGGAGGGTTGATACACTGATAGCAAGTCTGTGATGTATTTAGGTGCTAAGCCATTCAGAGATTTATAGACTGACAGAAGTATTTTAAAGTCTATTCTCTGAGATACAGGGAGCCAGTGGAAGGACTTTAGAACTAAATAATCTAAATCTTGCAGCTATATTTGCTGTGATCAGTGGAAATAAAGTAGTTTTAATATGTTTTTAAGTGAGAAAGTCCACCTGAAAACTTAATAATTGCAGTCAGTTCATCCAGATTATCTATTTCTGTCAGAGGCGCTCAGACCCCCACATACCAGCGGTGCACCGACAGTAGAAATCCCTTCAACAGCAGCCTCTAGGCCGGGCAGCCTCCGGGTTCACGCGGTGGCTGGCAGGTGTTTTTCATCTAAATAATTTAAACTGCAGGCACCAGGATACCGGTAATAAAAGCGAACATATTCCGTCGGCAGGTTTCAGGATTTTAAGTTAATTTAGGAGTGATCACAGCGCTGTGTCATCTGCGATGTGTCTGTCTCACGGCCAGCTCCCAGGTTTGATTAATACTTTGTAATAAATACATGAATAAAGCACAGTCATACACAGTTTTGCCCCCGCTGTATTTTTAAATACGCAGTAGAGGTATTTAAAGGTAGTAGAGGACTTGTACCTGTATATAAAAAACGCGCCCTATAGTCCGGTGCGCCTTATGTGTGTGTTAAATACAGAAATGGGACACATAACTGAGACTGCGCCTTTTAGAACGGTGCGCCTTATGGTCGTGAAAATACGGTATTTAGATTTAGATACGGTATTTAGACCATTTAGATTTTTCTAATTTGATTTTTAAAATGGCAAAAACGTAAAATAAGCAGTGGTTTATGGATTTTTCTCTTTTAAGTTTGAAAAAAAAAAAAAATCAGAGAGCGATCCATCTTCCATCAGCCATGTTCCATCATCTGTTCAGAGGTTTCAATCCTGAACAGTCTGTCTTTGTTCTAATCCCGTCTCTCTGCAGCTGAAAAGGCTCCCGCTGCCAATCTGTTTGACCAGAAAGCTTCGGCCGGCGGCTTTGAACAGCAGAAGCAACAGCAGCAGCAGCCAGTGAAGGTGGTCTACTACAGGGCTCTGTATCCGTTCGATGCCCGTAGTCACGATGAGATCAGCATCCAGCCTGGTGATGTCATCATGGTGCGTAAAGTGACCCATCTACAGTCATAAACTCAGCAGCTGTTGAACGTAGCGCCTCGTGAAAAGACGGGCTGCTTGTATTAACTCTTTCCTCTCTCCTCCGCTGTGCATACTGAAGGTGAAGGGGGAATGGGTAAGTTGTTGGCCCCAACCAATCACAAGCCCCAAAAAATCAGCACCTGCCGCCATTGGTTCACCTCATGTCCTCTAGATGTTTATTTCCATTCTTCAGTGGATGAATGTCTGGACTTTGTTTCTAACAAAGTCGTCACCGATGCATGTCGACGCTGCCCCTCCTGTGGCGTTTTCGCTGTGGATGGACGGACATAGAGTCATGTGTTCCTCACTCATGGTGGCTGCCTGCTTCCTGTAGATCATTTAAACACCATCCATCACCACCGCCTGCCCTATAGAGTGAAGTTTGATCCAATAATTAGCAAAGAAAACATTTTGTAAATGGACATTTAAAAAAATAATAATCCAGAAATTAATGTTTTGTTAAAAAAAACCAAACGCTTTTTAGTGTAAATTAACTCTTCTCGAATTCTTTTTCCTTTTCTTTTTTAATTCTTTTTATTTGTTTATTTTTTTTATATTTATTTCAAAGATTTTGTATTTTAATTTGTTTTTTTGTTTTTCTTTTGACCGAGCCTAAAAAATATTGGATTTCTTTTTTTTACCACCTTCTTTTTTTCAATTCTAGAGGTGGGCTTTCCTCTGGAGTGAGCAGAGAAGACACATTTCTATTGGCCGGCTGGACATTAGCAACAATATATTCATTGGAGAAAGTAATGCAATTTGTAAAATTTCAGAAAAACAAATAAAAATAAAATAAAAAATCTTAAAAATGTAAATGAAATTTGAAGAAATAAGATAAAACTAACTAGAAATTTTTAAATAAGTTACACTCATTACTTTTTTCATTAAAGAATTTTTCTTTTCAGTTTCATTTCTGGAATTGTTATTTTTTTGTCATATTTCCTTTTACAAAACCATACTGGAACAGAATTCACTTCATAGAGTCTCCCCTATTGTGTTCCTGTATGAGGAGAGCTAGCTAGAACCATCTATGCCAGGAAAGTCAGAATCAGATGAATACAAAGAGCCTATATAAACGTCTAAAGGCTTCAGTAAAGCACAGGAAGGAGTAATTTATCTGTCTCAGTCCTTCCAGACCCATCCTTTAACCGCTTACAAACGACACATGTGAACCTTTAGGGCAAAAGTGGCGTTATTAGTTAAAGTCATGGATACATTGCTCTACATCTTTTTTTACCACAGGCCATTAGATGTTGGCGATAATCCGGATTAGGACAATTTCTCAATCTCAGTCACTTCATTTTGGTCACATTACAGTTAAGACCCTGACTCCTTCCAGTCCTATAGGGGGCAGTAATACCTCTAAAGGGGGGTTGATTCCACACAGACAGGAAGATGTTTCAGGCCTGTTTAGTGCAAAAGAGAATCCAAATAAAATCCCAACTTGGATTTTTTCTTTTGACAAATTTGTTCAGCCCAAACCTGGATTATGATGACGAGCTTCAACCAGCAGAACAGAACCCCATCTGAAGCCGTTCCAACCCCGTGTTATTCTTAAGTTTTCCTTCTTAGTTGTTCCTTTCAGTAAAGTAACCAAGGGCCCCTTAGCCGTCCACAGCTCGGCCTGGTGAGTCTTGTACCTACAGGTGATCGTTAAGCGGTGATAGATGCTCCCAGTGCCAGACCTCCACCTCCTCTCCTGTTCCGGGGATCAGAGTATGTTGAGCTTCCTCGATTCTTCCGTAGATTTAGTTTTTTATTCTGTCTCTCTGCTCTGATAGGTGGATGAGTCCCAAACTGGGGAGCCTGGCTGGCTAGGAGGTGAGCTCCGAGGAAGGACCGGCTGGTTTCCAGCTAATTACGCAGAGCGGATACCTGAAAGCGAAGCACCGATCAGCCTGCGTGCCCCGTCCTCGGCCACGCCCCCAGCAACCCAGCATCCAGTGGCCACGCCTCCTTCCGCCTCCGGACCAACCTCCACGTCTTCAGCCAACAGTAACTGGGCCGACTTCAGCACCACGTGAGTCTCACATGACGCCATATTTTGGACTCCCAAACACGCTTGTTTCCACCTCTCCGCCTCATCGAATCGTCTCCGGGAACTTTTTCCAGTTGGCCGTCCAGCAACGCCAGCCAGTCCGACAGCGAGGGATGGGACGCCTGGCCCACGTCCTCAGCCAGTCAGAATCCCTCTCTCAGCATTCCATCAGCACAGCTGCGGCAGCGCTCCGCCTTTACGCCTGCCACCATGACGACAGGCTCCTCCCCATCTCCCGTCCTTGGACAGGTAGCAATTCAGAACAGATAAAGCGTTTATTGCCCAAATAGCTGGAGGTGTAATCCCGTGTTCCTCCTGCAGGGGGAGAAGGTGGAAGGACTTCAGGCCCAGGCTTTGTATCCCTGGAGAGCAAAGAAGGACAACCACCTGAACTTCAATAAGAACGAGGTGAGCAGCCAGCCTTCGCTGCTCCGCTGGTAACAGGTGGATGGCAATAAAGGTTCTGAAGGCGGCCATGTTGTTGTCAATGCAGGTCATAACCGTGTTGGAGCAGCAGGACATGTGGTGGCTGGGTGAACTTCAGAACGGACAGAGAGGCTGGTTCCCCAAAAGTTACGTCAAGCTCATCTCAGCCAACATGGCCATTCCTGCCGTCGCTGCGGTCCGCAGCAAAAACACCAAGTAAGTCCTAGAGCCGGCTGTCTGGATGACGCTCTGAGATGTACATGGTCACGTTACACGCCTCTACCCAAACGCCAGTGCGGTTCAGCCTGTCAATGTTTTTGTTAAGTTTTTTGTTTTGTTTATTATTGCATGTTAATAAATTGTGTTGCTAATTTTGGAAGCTCTTTGTTGTTTCCTAGTGAACCTGGAATATCAGAGAGTCCACCCAATGGGAAACGACCTTCATCCTCTCCAGCAAAACCCTCCGATTCTGGAGAAGGTAAGCGGATAAAACAACACACAGCATCCCAGCAGTCTAAAGAGGCACTGGTGTTTATTTTCATGGTGTTTTCTTTTTTTCAGAGTATGTAGCCATGTACACCTATGAGAGCAGCGAACAGGGGGACCTCAGCTTCCAGCAGGGAGATATCGTCGTGGTGACCAGGAAAGAAGGGGATTGGTGGACTGGTATGGTCGGAGGAAAGACCGGCGTTTTTCCGTCCAACTACGTCAAACCGCGCGATTCAGTCACTGAGGTGAGTCTTAGTCTGAGACGATTCAGTCTGGAGGAGCAGGCCATCTGTAGGAAATCCTCTTAATAACCTTCATTTTCCTTTTATCAGGCACTGGGACCAGCAGGAAAGACCGGAAGTCTGGGGAAGAAACCAGGTGAAATTTATTTACTTTTCTTCTTTTTAAATGTAGACTAATAAAGATAAATCACTGGTGCCCATGTTATTAATTAATGTCTTTAGCCACTGGATTTAAAGCTCTAATAGATTGACTTTCATTAAATTCAGCTTTCAGTCCAGCTTTTGTGTTTCAGTGAAATGAATGCCGTCTCCCTGCTGCCTTTCCTTCCCTCTCTTAGAGATCGCTCAGGTGATCGCTGCTTACACTGCGACGGGCGCGGAGCAGCTGACGTTAGCGCCGGGGCAGCTCATCCTCATCAGGAAAAAGAACCCCGGGGGCTGGTGGGAGGGCGAGCTGCAGGTACGCCAGCTGATTCTCGTCACCTGGAAATCATTAACATGTGGCAGCGCGGTAACGTTTGAAAAGATCACATTTAAAAAATATTAATCTGTTTAATATTAAGAAGAAGAATAAATTTGAAAAGAAATTATTTGAAGTAACTGAAATCTGAGAATCTTTTTTTTCCTGTTAAAACTTTTTTATTTCATTTCACTTTTATTCAATTCAATTTTCAATTCAGTTTATTTATATAGCGCCAAATTCACAACACATGTCATCTCAAGGCACTTTACAGTTGGTTTTATCAAATTCCCATTAACAAAACATGCTCTTTGCTAACAGAACCAAATATCCTGCATTGGAGTCCATCTGGTTTGTTGTTTTGCAGCTTTTCTAAGGTTGAGTGGCGAAGCGTTTCCCACTTCTATAAATAAACATCCTGCATGTTTGGGTTAAAAAAAGGCTGCGTTTCCATCACCACTAAAGGGAAATATGGCTTAAAGATAAAACATCTGGTTTATTATACCAAATCTAAATAATAGATTTTCTTCATTCTTTTTGTTTCACAAAAACAAATATCAAAAATTATTTTAAAAACTTTTTTTATGCCAAGCATTTAGTCTGTGAGGGAATCAAAGTAAAAGCTGTGAACTGCGCTTGTAAAAAAAAAAGATGGCTGCTCCTTCCAATGTAAATAATAACAGCATGTTTGCTGCCCGCGGTTTGAAACTTTGAGCTTTGAACAGGTTTGACTTCAAGATAACATAAAAAATTAAAGTAAAAATGGTGAGACGAAAGGGCCTCATATTATGTAAAAAACAAAAAAAACAAAACAAAAAAAAGGTTTATATTTGCAAAATTGTAATAAAATATTTTCCTAAACATAAATTTAGTTTTTCATGGTATTCACTTTATAAAAGCCTAATCAGATCATTGATTAGATATAATTTAAATGAAATTGTTGCGAGCATAGAATGCATTTTTTTTTTTTGTTGCTTTCTTTTGGTTTTCTTTTAGTTTTTTTTTAAGTTTATTTACACATTTCATATTTTTTATTGTTTATTTTTCAGATTGTGTTTTACAAATTACTTTCTTTACAAATTTCTTTTCGCACATCCCATCCTCTTCACTCTAAGCCTAATTCAAACGTCCAGCAGACCAATAGACATGTCTCTGCCCCCCCCTACAGAGGAATGTTCGCCACCAGAAGTGTGTAATTTGTTATTTGAAAAAAGTGAAATTCTTAAAACTCAACCTGAAGAAATTAATAGTAAAAATAAAATGAGAAAATGAAAACTGTAAAGAAAATGTGATAAAAACATTTTTCAAAGTTTCATTTCTGGATTAAATTAGTTTTTTGTGTTCTCTGCAACAATAATGGAACCAAATTAACTCCGTACCCCCATACCAAACTTTTTCAGAATGTATTGAGGGACCCTCACATCCCTTCAGTTTTTAGTTCCAGTTAAAGTCCTTTTTTTCTTTGAAATGAGCCGCTTGTTAAATAGATCTGACTTCTCTGTTCCTATTGCTGAAGGCTCGGGGGAAGAAGCGGCAGATTGGTTGGTTTCCAGCCAATTACGTGAAGCTCCTGAGTCCCAGCACCAATAAGACCACTCCCACAGAGCCCAACCCTCCTAAACTGGCCCCTGCCAGCACAGGTATGCAGCCACTGGCTGCTTTCTAATAAAATCCAACCTTCTATGTACAGATAAACACGTTTTTAACCTAATCTGTCTTCCATCGCTGGTTTGGTCCAAACTGAAAACGTCGGCTCCATCTCTTCTGTCTCTGTGAAGTTTTGTGCCAGGTGATCGGCATGTATGACTACGTGGCCCAGAACGATGACGAGCTGGCCTTCCTGAAGGGTCAGGTCATCAACGTGCTCAACAAGGACGACTGTGATTGGTGGAAAGGAGAGCTGAATGGCAGGGAGGGCCTGTTTCCTAGCAACTACGTCAAACTGACAACTGACACCGACCCGAGCACGCAGTGTGAGTACGCGCACACACGCCTCAGTTCGTAGCGTGGAGCGTTTTTGACATGACGAAACTAACATGCCTTCAGTGGGAACCTAATCAGTGTAACACACACACACACCAGAAACAGCCGGACACACACACACACCCAGAGCCAGGTGTGGAGATGCTGTCCCTCTGTCAGTCTTTGACCCCCCCCAGCTGGTTTCACCTTTCACCTTCCTGCTCCTTTGGGCCTCTTTGACAACCCCACCCCATCATGCACCCCCTCTGGGTGGTCTCTGTGTGTGTTTGTATCCTGTGTAACTGCATGCAGGTGTGTGTTCAGCGGCATTGATCAGTGCACAAGCTCCTCCTTTCTTCCTGCATGTTTACCTTCAGCATGATTCACCAATAATATCAGAGTTTCTACAGCGTGGCAGAGACATGACAGAACACAGGAATCATCGCATTTCATCCAAGGACAGACTGATGGCTATTTATTTATTTCATTACCTTTTGCTGCATAATAAACCTGAAATAAACTTAGCTTCACAATTGTTAGGTCTAAATGAAGATTTTTGGGTTAGTGGGAACAATTTTGCAGCACTTACGATCTCTGATTTTATGTGTAATAAAACAAACACAAAGTCTAATACATTTACCCTCCGTCCCCGCAAAGCAAATATATGAACAAATAGAGTAAGGTACCCTGAACATCCGGTGAAACCTCAGCTTCTTTAACTCAACACCTTTCCTATAACTCCTGGGCTCCACTGAACATGGAGGAGCTACGGTGCAGCTGATCCCAGAGACTCTAGTCCGTCAGAGCGCTTCCACCTGGTGAAGTGTGCTTATTTAATGTTAAATGTCCGTTCTTGGTTCATTAGATTTAATTTGGCTCCATCTGGTTAATTGGTAACGTCCACTAGAGGGCGCTGCTGTTAATTATTTTGCGCTGGTATTTCCAAGAGAATTAACACCAGAATGAGGGCATCCTGGAGCAGAACCATGAATGCATCCAGAGTCCGGCCCAGATTGTTTTCACTCTTTTAATGGAGACCAGGAGTTAGGAGGAACTTTGTGTGGTTCTGTTTTTTTTAATATTGACCACCTGCTTAAAGACGCTACTAGCAGCACAAAGTGTCTCCCATCACTGGAAGCTGCTGATTATCACAGCTACCAGCCACCTCATTGGATCAAAGTGTTAAAAAGTTCTGACACTCACTGTTAATGACAGTTTTACTTCTCTGTTTATTGGAATATGTTTCACACTTTTTCATTCAGTAACCTAATAGGTTTATCTTAGTTTCTGTACTTTTTTTAGTATAGCATGTTATAGAAAGTAGGGCTGGGCGATAATTCAATAACGATATATATCGATCGATAGACGTGTGGAGCAATAGAAAAAAAGAGGGTCGATAAAAGTTCGATAAAGAAACGCAGTTTTCCTTCCTTCTCATTGTAGCCTAGCATGTAGGTTTATGCTAGTCACTGCTTCCTCCCAACCAATCACAATCATGGACCCAGGCACGCCGTCACAAAGCGCCGCCCTCTCAATCCACAACACAGAGCACATGAAGATGTCGCAGCAAGGAGAGGCGGAGGAAATTGTTTCAAAGAAGGGTTTTTGTAGTTCGCCAGTTTGGCAGTATTTCGGTCATGGCAAGTCGGACCAAAAACAAACCACAGTCATCTGTAAAATGTGTCGGGAACCAGTGAAAACGAAGTCTGATAACATAGCCAACTTTTTTTTTTTTTTATCATCTCAGCCGCTCACACCCGCAGGACTACGAGCTGTGTAGGCCCCGGCGCAGCTCTCCTCCAAGGAATCTTCGGAAATTTCGGGAAAATATATATATATATATATTAGGGGTGGAACGGTTCACAAAATCCACGGTTCGGTTCGATTCACGGTTTCTGGTCACGGTTTTCGGTTCGATTCGGTATATGTTGATTGTTACACCGAAATTCCATAAAAAATTATGAAATTAATGAAAAAATCCCCCTAAAAATAATGGATTGTAATTATTTTAAATGATCCGCGGAAACCCTGGATCATTTCCGTATGTTTTGCTGCTTTGAATTTAATCATCTGGCGCATGCTCTCTACCATCTCCAAGGAACTCAGAGGGGAGCAGACGAAGCCACAGTGGGGGCTGTAGGCTTTGCTTTGAGCACCCGGTCTGGAGCGCAGCGGGGGTTGCTAACGGAGTATGAGGGATTTCGGGATTAGCATGACATGTTGGTCATGTTGCTGTTAGCATAAACAAAAGCTGTTGCACAATGCTTGCACACTGTTGCACTTTTATCCACAACTTTCTTTCCGCCGTCATCGTAGGTCACTCTAAATGCAAAGTGGTCCCATACAGCAGACCTATAAAGTGCTGCTGGCGCGTCTTCCAACTCCTGTTCTTTCCCACTCACCAGTCCGACACAATTCTCCACAACTGATTTTTTCCGCTACACCCGGCTAAGCTGCTACGCTTCTTCTTCTTCTTGTTTACTACTGGTGGTTGGCTTTGGTCGCAGTACCGCCACCTTCTGCTCTGGAGTGTAAACGCTTCGCCTATGAGAAAAAGGAGCAGCGCATGAACCGAACGAAACACACGCGAACCGAACCGAGACAGTCGAACCGAACGTTTCTGACGGTTTTCATAAATCGTCCCATCCCTAATATATATATATATATATATATATATATATATATATATATATATATTTTTTTTTTTCACTCTGGGCAGTTTCCCACGTAGTTCTAACAATTGAGAGAAAAATGCTGAGGGGCCAGCAACTTCAAAGTAATAACTCAGGTTAAAGCAGGAAACTAAGCTGAACCATAACGAGGTTCCAGCAGCACCTCTAGAAGAATAGGGGTGAGATAAAATACCCCATAGAAATGCTAGGCTAAAGGGTGAGTTGATTTGGGTTTTTGTTCTTGTTGAGTGGAGTTTACATGGTAGCCTAGTCCTACAATCTTTTAATTACCACAAGCTGGTGGTGGACTATTCCCACCCAAATAGGGTATTCTATTTATGTATTTGTTATATTTATTTTGGTCACTTTTCTGGTCACTTTAGTTTATTCTTCATCAGTATTTAATAACATAACTCGGGTCTCTTAAGTTATTTTTCTTTAAAACAATTCTGTTATGGTTAAAAAAGTTGGTTAAATAAATATTTAATTGGAAGTCTGTGTTTGTGTTCTTTATTAAAATTAAATCATTTAGCAATATTATAAAAAATCCAGGCAGAGCTGCACATAAAATATGTTTTCAAATCTTTTCAATAATTATCGATATCGATCAATATGCATTTTTTTTTAAAGATAAGCTTTTTTTCTATATCGCCCAGCCCTAATAGACAGTATATTTAGCGTCCTAACTTAATGGAAAGATCCTCTTGATTCAAGAGAAAACTGAGGTTTAAAGAAGACGTTTAAAAAGGTTTAAAGAAGACGATCAAAAAGATCAGTCAACTTTAGATGAATTCATTAATAATATCCCTGTCATCACCTGTGGATCCTGCACCAAACTGCCAGATGAGCTTTCTTCATGCTTGGCCCCAGAGACGATGACACGCTCACCTTGGAGGCAGGAAATCACCCTGTGTTTACACGATCAATGGGTCTCGTTTAAAAAAACAACAGCGGAGCAGATGAAGCACGGGCAGAAGTCGCTGAGAAATTTAGCCTTAAAGTAGAATAGGAAAACTTTAAAACATAATTTTTGCAGCACATTAAATGATCCAGGTGTGCAGAGGCGCTCTGCTCTGGAACCATTCCAGTGGAACCTGGTGTCTGACAGAATCAACCACAGCTCTAAGAAGGGAATTTAATTCACACTATAGAGCGCCCCCTACAGTACAAACAGGCATTAGTCAGGGTGTTCTTCTTTTTCCTCGAGTCTCAGTTAGGGATGGGGATCGAAACCCGGTTCCACTTTTTTCAAAACCCGAAAATCAATAACGTTTGTGCTTATCGATACCATTATCGAGTCTGGTCGTTTTTTTTTTTCTCCCGGAGGTCCTGTAACATAATTGTGTGTCCCTCGAGTCGCGTCATAGCATTTAAATCTAATCAATCCAATCACTGCAGCATGTCCACCAATGTTTTGGAATGAAATTGTAAGCAAACAGATATTAAAAGTAAAACTAGTGAAGTCTGGCACTTAACTTTGCTCGCGACTCGAGGATGGCTGAACAGAAAAGACTCCTCCTCCTCCTCCTGCCGCCGCACCACAGTCGGGCCCATCTTCATCATCCACTCAGAGTACCACTGGTGAGCGCACACAGACTTTGTAGCTTGACCGGTCAGTTAAAAATATTAATTGTGAAATCCGTCTTGTAATCGGCAGCATACAAGCTAGTTAGCTTGAAAAGTAAATAAAGTTTCAGACGTGCTGCGTGATGATGTGTTCAGATTGGCTCAGTAAAACGACAATTAGGTTATCATGATGCGTTCAAGTGTAACGTAAAGAAAACGGGAAATTGAGTTTTTAGCGAGAAACATGAGTAATACAGTTGTATACTGCTCTAAATATTTTAGAATATATAATGAAACTACTGATGCCAACATTTATTAAAAATTACATTTAATTTAAAATACAATTATTTATTTGTTAAATATTTTCCTAATCACTAAAAACATGATGAAAAGTGACAGTAGACAATAAATTAACCAACAATTGTGAAAATATGTTCTAGTTAGTTTTATGTCATTTCGAAGTGGCCTATTACATTAGCCATGTTTATTGAAGGCTAGAAACGTTTTTGTTATGCTCACTTGTTCAGCAATAGAAGCAATACCAGTTCTGTTAAAAAAATTTTGTTGCATCGTCTTTCCACCAAATAACAGAAAAGTATCGATAGTGGTATCGATAAAGACTCGGATCGATAAGGAGTATCGATAAAGGTATCGATATCAATAAATATTAATGATCCCCATCCCTAGTCTCAGTAAGACTTAAATAATGAGAGTAAATCCAGAGATCCTGTCTGATCTGTCACTGCCGCTTTAGATCCTCTGGTTTTGGTCCC